ACTTTCATGTTGCGGGCCCCAACCAAGTGGTCGACACCTACCAACATGACTCACTCCACTTGTCAGAGACTTCATGGATTTCTGCCATGTTTTGGCCGCCCCTAGCTTTCACCAAACCTACTGCTTCACCACAAAAACATTGCTCGTCGAGGCAGTCAGTGGTTTGGGGTTTTTAACTTACTCAACTTCTAGTTAACATTTACATGCATCTAACTGACTTGATTTAATTTGAAAGCTTAATGTATATTACACTAAATGCTTGTTACATTGATTTCTCAGCGGATTTTTAAACTCTAACAATCTCCAACGGCTGAACATTTAAAAATAATAGGAGGATAAAAATCTAAAAAGCTCAGGCTCTCGTGTTAGTTCAATCTTCGCTTTACAAAGATTAGTAATTTAAATTCACCAATCAAATCAGACAAGAAAAAAACATGACTAAGCATCGAGAATTTTTGACAATTACTCTGGAAACTCTGATTGTCTACGAATAATTTAGGTATTTTCGACTTCTCAGGTGAACTTTCAAACAAATATTGATATCTTCCAGTTGACATCATTACTTCATGACAATATATCAAAAAAAAAAACTAACTAAAAACGACTGATTAAAGTATTTCACGGTCAAATATCTGAAACTTCTTGACTGAAATACTCTTCTTCAATTATTATTACTATTATAATTTATTCGAAATACTTATAGATTTTTAACTGAAATCCAATATCTCATTGACTTTAGAAACTTAGGAAAATTTTAAACAAGATTAAAGTCGCATTAAAAAAAAGCATATCTTTTTTTCATAGTAAATTTCAACAGATAACTTTCAGATAGTATTTAATGAATAATGAATTGGTGATCAGTTTGCGTTGTACATTATTTAGATAACTTATACTGAGATTGATTTACACCCAGACAGAGACTAGTGTTTAGAGTATCAAAAATGTCAACCAAGTAGTAACTTATATCCTCTATGCAATCCTTAAACTTATTTGATCATTAACATGGATGGAAAAACTGTATTATACAGTAAAACAATGGATTCAGACAGGTAGTGTGGTATACGCTACATATGTTCACATAAGTAATATATGATATCAAACGGAAATCAAACGTCTGACAGCAAAAGATCGAGAAGAAAAGAATGAGAACAGAAGGTGATTTGTAGGTAACGTAAAGTGAACTGAAGTCTGAACAGTCTAAATGAAAGTACACTGAAATCTGGAACAAATAAGGATTAGTTTACAAATGATGATTTCACGGGAAGGTTTTGTACATATGCTTAACAACTCTGTAATATTCGCCTAAAGATAGATGCTGATGTCCTCACCTGAGTTTTCGTGCACAACAGTAGGACATTTTGTGGCACAAAACTGAGTAATATATGAATGATAAAATATATCATAACTATTTAATCATTCAAATAGAAGCATTTAATTTAGATAGATTTTTAAAAAAAAATTAATTGCAAACTAATTGTTGATTGACTGATTGATTTTTTTCAAAAAATAAAAGTTTATTCGACTTTAAATGTTCTATCTGTAAATTACACTGATCAAAAAACGTAAAACTACTTCACTAATGCTACATATATGTTTTTTTATGCATTCAAGGTAAAAGTATGGTTTCAAAATCGTAGAATGAAAACAAAGAAATTAAAAACTCAATCATATTACAATGAAGAAAAAAGATTACAACAACAACAACAAAATACTGATAATGGTACCATGAAATTAAATGAACAATCATATACAACATTATTTGATCAAGAGGAAATTCCCAAATCAACGAACCAATGGAATGAGAATATTTCTACAAATTCTATTCTATCATGTATCTTTGATTTATAATTCCTAGGATAATGTTGCAAAAAAAAAATTATACTTGAATAGTGTGTGTGTGTGTGCTTACAGTGCCAGTCCCCGTGTATTGGAATTTACACAAGCTAAACAAAATAATTATATTTACTTTGAACCTATGATTAAAGTTTGTAAATGTAAACAAATTTTTTTAAAAAAAAACGTTTCAATTGCCATTTTTTATTATGAGATTAGATAAGATGTAATATCTGCAGTAAACAGCAGATTCATGTCCAACTCTAGTAATTAAAGAGTGATCAACAATAAAATTAAGCAATATACCAATTATATGGTAATGATCTAAATTTTATTTACGTTTTAGGATTATAAAAAGTAATAGACAATAATTAGTGACGTACTAATGTGAATGACACTGTAATCGGATAATAAGAAAAGATTGCAGTTCTAAAACCAAATATCTAGAAAAATCAATAAACTGGCGTACCGCCAGTAACTTCTAGAATTGGATGAATACGGAGAAACTACATTAACCATATAAAAGTGCATGTGTATGGGTATCCAATGGACAGCTAGGATGCAGCTGGAAGCCTCCGACGGATTTCCGCAGATGACCTAGCTCTTCTACCACACACGCAACAACAAATGCAAGAGAAGACGACCAGAGTAGCATCAGTCTCTGCAACAGCAGGTTTCAACATACATAAAGGAAAAAGCAAGATTCTGCAATACAACACAACATGCGCCAACCAAATCACTCTTTGTCGAGATACCTTGGAGGAAGTTTACACCTTTACATATCTGAGCGGCATCATCAACAATCAAGGTGGATCCGATGCAGATGTGAAGGCGCGGATCGGCAGAGCAAGGGTTGCATCTCTACAATTGAAAAATATCTGGAACTCCAAACAAATATCAATCAACACCAAAATTAGGATTTTCAATACAAATGTCAAGACAGTTCTACTGTATAGAGCGGAAACTTGGAGAACTACCAAAGCCATCATCCAGAAGATACAAGTGTTTATTAAAAGTTGTCTAAGGAAAATACTTCGGATTCGTTGACGAGATACGATCAGCAACAACCTACTGAGGGAAAGAAGAAACCAGATTCCAGTGGAGGAGGAAATCAAAAAGAAGCTGTGGAAGTGGATAGGACACACACTGCGGAAAGCACCCAACTGTGTCACAAGACAAGCCCTCGCTTGGAACCCTCAATGTCAAAGGAAAAGAGGAAGGTCAAGGAACACATTACGCCGAGATACAGAGAAAAACATGAAAAATGTGTACAAAAATTGGAAAGAACTGGAAAGGGAAGCCCAGGACAGAGTTGGTTGGAGAAAACTGGTCGACTGCCTATGCTCCATTGGGGGTAACAAGCGTAAGTAAGCAAGTAATATAATACAATACAGTGATGGATAAGCTAAGTTTAAAATCACATTAATAAATAGTTTATTCTAAAGTGAAAATTTCAGACTTTAATTTATCTTTATGATAAACTGATTTTTATTTAAAAATGAGAAAATGTTAGTGTATCGATCTTTAAGCACCCAAAACATCAAACTGATTAGCATATTATAGATTAGCTGATAAATCTTACTTGTAAATAAAACTAAGAAAATTGGTGAAGCTACTCATAGCGGTCTGATTGCGATCTGAGTGATAATTGCAATCAGTGGTTAGAAACTTTGAATGATATGATGACCCAGAACTAATCAAAGGGATACAGATGCATTACACTTTGATCATACAGTCAATGCTGGTCGATGATGTCTGATACATCATTTTATAAGTCATTTGAACTGAAACACTGATACAGAAGAACACCAAAATACAAATGCCCCATATAATAAAGACGAGATTGTGGACAGGTGAGTATATTAAAAAAAGCATCAAGAGAAATTAGTATGTGTGAAATAAAAATTAATTGATGGAGGAGCGATTCGATTAAGAAAGATGTATTCACGGACGATTCTTTCAATTATATGAAGTTAAACAAAATTACAGCAGGGCCGCTACTAGCTTCTATTCTAAGCCATGTATTATGGTGTCAAGGTAGTGTGTGTTGCAGTTGTAACAGATATACGTCAATCGTGTACAGCTTCCTTTCACATTATGATACTATGTTATCTATCTGCTGAGCTTCGCTTTTTCCAACCAGTCCCAGTGTCTAAAAATAATGCATGATATAGAATTCTCAAGGAGATGTGGAAAATTCTCAACCTAAAGAGGCCAGGTTCTACAAGTATCGAGAAAAACTGTTCTCACCAGCGCGTTGTAAATCCAATCGTTCAAGTCCAGACTAACATCACGAAGATACCAAAAATGATCCAGATTAGTATAAGCCGCTCTGGTTTTCACTATACATGAATTGAGCTCATCACTCACGCTACAAAAATACACGAACTTCTCGACTAATTTCAAATGTACACTACCAAGAGTGAGTGCAGACACAAGCTCCCGCCAGTCCTCTAAAAGTACTATGCACGTAGAAGCTGCAACGAATATGCTATCTATGATTAGGTGCAGATAGCATCACATGAGTATCATAGATAAACATGTATTCACGTAATTGCTATGTGCAGGAAAGACGGTTATTTTTCTCAGTGCAATAAATCTATGTAGGGTATTATTCAATTTTCTAAACAGTCTTTAAGTGCAATTGAGCAAACATTAACTAGCTAACTTACCAAAACAAAACCGTAGGTCAATAAACAACTAGTGAATCATTTGAATACATTGGTTTACAAAATGGAACAACACCCAATCTATTCATGTATATTCATTAGTAATTAGTCTTTTGGAGAATATTCTGCAAGTTACTACACCTCATACTCAGTATATATAAAGCAAAGCACAACGCAACGTAAATTAGATTACATTTCTAACTCCCACTATTATCCATCAAGACAACTAATGTATTTTGCGATATTTAAAAATAGCAAGCTGATTACGATAAGATAAAGCCATACATCACATCAAAATGGAGTTGTAAAATAAACTGTATACATTTGTTTTCTACTACAACAAAAAAGACCTTAACACAAATTGATGGAAAAAATAAATTGACACAACTTAAATACAAACTGAAGCGTTAAAGATGGTGATGAAATTAATGGAAAGAGATTATTAAAGTCCTGGACAATCATAAGCAACGACGAAGCACATATTGAATAATTTGTGACTTATGGTAGTTCTTCGAATAAAAGCAGATCGATATGAGAAAAAGTCTGAGAATCTTTCATACATACTGAATATTTTACGCCTGTCACCCACAGAGGAGCATAGGCAGTTGACCTGCTTTCTCCAACCGACTTTGTCCTGGGCTTCCCTTTCTAGTTCTGTCCAATTTTTGTACATATTTCTCATGTTTTTCTCTGTATCTCGGCGTAATGTGTTCCTTGGTCTTCATCTTTTCCTTCGACCTTGGGGGATACAAGTGAAGGCTTGTCTTGAGGCAGTAGGGTGTTTTTCGCAGTATGTTTCCTATCCACTTCCACAGCATCTTCCTGATTTCTTCCGCGGCTGGAATCTGCCCATATATGTAAAGGTGTTAACGTCCTCCAAGGCGTGTCCATCAAGAGTGATTTGGTTGGTGCATGTTGTGTTGCATCGGAGAATGTTACTTTTTCCTTTATGTATGTTGAGACCTGCTGCTACACTGATCGTCTTCTTTTGGATTTGTTGTTGCGTGTGTGATAGAAGATCCAGGTCATCTGCGAAGTCCAGCTGAAAACTGGTTGTCCACTGTATCCTGTGCTTCATTCCACATGTCGACGTCTTCATAATCCTGTCGGTCACCAGGAGAAAGGGTGAGAGTAAGCAACCTTGCCTCGAACGAGCCTGTCAGCTGTCCACCGTGCACAATTTTCAGTTTAATTCATCATAAGAATTGCGTACGTTGTTGACTATCTTCTCAGGCACGCCGTAGTGTCGGAGAAGCCTCCACAGTGTTTTCCTATCCACGCCATCGAATGCTTTCTCGTAGTCAATGAAGTTGATGTAGAGTGGTGAGTTCCATTCAATCGATATTTTCCACAATGATACGTAAAGTAGCAATTTGGTCAGTACACGAAATCCAGCCCGTTGATTTCGAAGTTAGGCTTCTACGAAGTCATTCATTCTGTTTAACAATATTCTGTTGGAGGCTCTCCCCGATACTGATAGCAGAGTAATGCTTCTGTAGTTCTCACACTTGCTGAGATCACCTTTCTTTGGTATTTTGTTCAGGTATCTTTCTTTCCAGTTTCTTGGAACTTGTTCATTCTCCCAAATCTCTTTGAAGAGAATGTGGGATATTTTTGCGTTTGCTGTCATTGCCTCTGCTAGAATTTTGTCTGGTCGCGCTGCTTTACCGCTCTTGATTTGTCTGATGGCCATACTAATCTCACCAATGATTGGTGGGCTAACATCGATAGGGAGGTCAGTAGATGCTGCTTCGATGTTGGGTGGGTTCAGTGGAGCTGGTCAATTCAAGAGTTGTTTAAAGCGCTCTACCCACTCGTTTCTCCGTTCTTCAGTGTTGCTGATTACTTCGCCTTCCTTGCTTTTCACTGGTCGTTCTGGTTTACGATAGTTTCTAGCGAGCTTCTTTGTTGTATTTTACAATTGTCTCAAGTTTCCATCTCTTGCAGCCTTTTCCGCCGTCATTGCTAGATCTTCTACATTTTTCGTTTGTCAGCTCTGATATTCATCTTCACTCGCCACTCTGCTTCTGTGTATTCAGCTTGTGCTATAACTCACTTTGCTCTTGTGAAGTTGATTGCTGTCTTCTTGATCCTCCTTTCTTCAATTTTTCAAGATTATCAACAGAGACCTATTCCTCATGGTGGTACTTCTTGTGGCCCAGAACCACCTGACATGTTGAAGTGATTGCCTCCTTGATCCTTTTCCAATTGTTCTCCAATGTTGCTTCCTCTCCGTTGAGTAGATCATGCAAAGCGTGGAATCTATCGCTGAGGGCTATCTTAAGCTTTCCCGAAGAAACGCCGTATTAAACATTTGTGATGTCTGCCCCGTCGTTCAGCTGTTCTTGAGATTCCGTTTTCGGTTCTTCCCCTACTGTTTCGAATTTTTGTGGATTGCTTGCTTTTCTTCCCCCTTATGTTTTTTAATTATTATTTAACGTCGTATGTAGTCATGGTAGGATGAGTTATGCTCTGGTTTGTGCATGCACTTTTACGTAACTCACGCCGCTGCCGTATTCAAAGTTTCATATTATATTTGTTGTGGTATAACCTTCTTAATCCCAGGGCAGAGTTAAAATGGATTGAATTGATTTTCCTGGTTAGTTTTTTTATGAAATGGAGGCCGCCAATCCTCCACATTTATCTGCGCTTGAAACCGGCAATAGCCCCAGAGGGGCTCCAGGCAGTGGAACATAATTTCATAAGAATTCTGTTGGATAAGAAAGAATTGCCCTTACTGGTGTAAGCAAATAACATTTAAATTGATCACTTACCAAAACGTTGCTGGAAGAACAACAGTCTCTACTTTACCCTACAACAATATAAGATCTCAATATTCTACAGATGATACTAGCATATAACGGTGATAAGTAGACAAAGCTGTTGAACACGTTCATAAATTTCTGGACAGAAACAAACTTACTAGAACGCGTATACACATTATGTTTAATAACCAACAAACATTTTTAACTACGGTAGAAATGTATCATGTTGCGTTTTACAAGTGGCATTACGAATATCATTTGTATGACTTAAATAAAATTAATTTTCAATCAGGAAAAAAAATGCTTCCTGCTATATACACAAATTTCAATCATAATAAGTTATAATACTGTTTTAAATAACGAACATTATTATTATTATTATTATTATTATTATGCAAATTACATAAAAATAAAGCAAAACAAAGAATCAATTATGTCATTTAAAAATTAAGCAAGATGATTTAGCAAAGAAATGAATGATACAAATCCATTGAAAATATTTAATAATTTATATTTTAATTTCCATTGTTTTATCCATTGAATAATTTTTTGTTTTTCAATTTCTCTTGCTTTTATTACACTTTCAGGATCAGCTGAATTAGGTGTTCGTAAATCTAAATGATGTGCAGCATCAGAGATATTAATTACTGTAGCAAATGGTACATAACTATTATTTGTAATTGATAATGCTGACCATGGATCAATTTCACCATTGCTAGAAAAAAATTTAAAAAAAAAAATTAAACAAAGAAAGAAATTGTTGTAAACGATGCTACGTATAGCTCTTCAGTGCTAGCGGCGTCCAATACAAATTATCCCAATACGACCCAAAATGCTATTTCCAAATCTCCTAGATATCAGAACGCAACACCGTGGAATGGAGTTGTTTATTGGGTCGAATACAGAAGAGAGGTAGGCAGGGGAAACGGAATCGGAATCCGAATCATTAAGTCTTTCAGATAGTGCGTATTTATACATTAAGGTCGAATAAGAAAGAGCATCAACGTCTGTGACATTGACAGTTTAGGACGACCAATAGAAAAGAACATTTGAATGACATCGACAGTCCAGATGACCAATAGGAAGCAACATTGAAGTATTTGACTTTGACAGTTAGAACGGTCATAATTTCGACCAATAGGATTGTACTTCTGAAATAGTATTCTTAGGATATTTGGTGAATATCCTAACAGAAATTCATTTGAATTCATTTGAATAAATAGACAACTTATAATCAATTAACGGCCCAGCAATACAACAACAATATGGATAGTTTGAATAGTAGAACTTTGTATGTACGACGTGCATCAGTTCAAGTTGCCATACCACACTAGCACAGAGAGAATCGTATTGTCGATTTAGATCGCATAGTAGTAGATGTAGTGGAAGTACTAGTGGTAATGGAGAAGATTAGGATTCTGAGATATTATTCAAGGAGTATAATCTAGTGAAGTAAATATGAGAACTAGATGCAAGCAATTTACATTATAAGGAGTACAAAGCTAGGATTGTTGGCGAAATGATATAGCTCCTTGGACTGATGCACGTACATTAGACAAAAAAGTTTCTAACCAGGTAGTATTCAGACTAGTGAAACAACTTTATAACGCAGAGGTAAAGTTTTAAGGATTACAAAAAGCAATGACAGTGATTTAAGCATGTCAGTTTTGATAGTCTAAACATGAATTAGTGTTTAAACAGAACACTATTGTATACTTGAATACACAATAGCCAGTTATTGAAAATTCAGTGAGATCCGATGTTTACTTGTACTTTATATTTGTATACAATTCTTATTTAGTCCATACTACTACTAATAATGTACTATTATGCAGTGAAAAAAAATACCCACGCAAACTGGAACTTAGTTACACTAGAATTATCGTACATGTTTTAAACGATTTCAGACCATAATGATAAATCACTCTATTGAAAATGATTGTTATGATTTTTTCTTAGGTAAACAAAAACTTTATCTGGTTAGAACGGTCACATTAACACCCAATTAATCTGAGGTCATTACATTGGAATAACATTAAAAACATTCTCATAAGTTGAATTAGGAAAACCATGTACTTAGTTTATTTATACATAGGAAGATTTATATATATTTTTTTTAACATATTCACAAGTTAATGGCATTGACTTTCGAATTGGATCAAGGAATAGATTTTTGGCAATAATTTACATTTTATTTCAATATTAACTTGAAAGTACAAAATTTGATAATAGTTCAATAAGTCTAAATAAAGTTTTAAATTAAATATCAAAATGATTATGTAGTTTTTTTTCTCAGTTTGACTAGAGAAGGATAAGTTGACGATACTGATTAATGAAAAGTATGTGTATTATACAAATAAATATTAATATTTTGTGACAGTAAGCTGAATTAATACAGGATCAATTAAGATTTTATAACATGTAAATATCAATTCAAATCAGCTTGTTTGAGTCTAAAACCATAAGAAACAATAGGTTTTTTGTTATTTCGGTTAGGGTTAATGTAAAGTAATTATTCAACAAGGTACAGATTAATGAACAAAGATTCAAGTGGAACATTTTTCAAACTTTTAAGTTGACAGTTCAAATTCAAATTCATTGACAATTGGACTGACTCATGTTGGTAGGCGTCGACTATCTGGTTGGGGTCCGCGAGATTGTAGTAATCGATGGTTAGAGACCTTGAATAACACGGCTCAAAACCTTTTGCAATGGCGCAGGTGCATTCATTCTTTTTGTTCTCTCAAATCCTAACCTTCAGAGCTCCTCTTCACTTCGATCTTGTTATTTTTAAGTTGATTTCACTAGATTCTACTTCTTAAATAATATCTTCGAACCCTAATCTCTCGGATTACTGATAATACTTCTACTACCTCTACTACTATGTGATTTGAATTGACAATTGTGTCTCTGTGCTAATGTGATATGGCAACAGGAATTGATGAACGTACGTACGAATTTCTATGTTATTGCTTTATTTAATATAACTAACTACTACTGAGCAATGTCTTCTTCACTTCATGCAAATAAAATGGCTATAGACTATCTTAAACCAAATGTTCATTTTTAAACAGACTTTACATGTCAGATTACTATCAAAAATTATCTCTAGTTTTAACAAAATGTTTGTTTTACCTGAAAACTATATTGGTAACAGTATCTACTGATTTACTCCAAAATTGAACTTTTGGCCATTCAACACGCGGGCGTACACCAAATCGGTTTTGACAATAGGCTGAGTAGGCTTTGAGATCCCAATTTACTAGTGGCATAATGTTCACCGGTCCAGATGCACACATAGGTGTTGTCATCTCCATGCAAGTCTAAAAAATAAGATAAAATGATCAGTTTAGTGTTGTAAGTAGATTTGAAACATATCATTTCGATAAGAATCCTATTATATTCAGAGTAATAATTTGTCAGTTATAAATAACGTAGAACCGGACAGAGATAAGCAACCACAATACTTTTCATTAACAAATTTAAAGAGAAAGTTGACAAGACGACAAGCAGAGAAGAGGAAATAATTATATGCGTTAAAATTGAAGTATGAAAAATATGGTTTGTACATAATGAATTAAATTGACAAATAGATGAGTAAGTATCAATAACATAGATTTTGGTTCATATCGACCTGGGAAACCTTTATTTCAAAACAGTAATAGGCATTGGAATAGGCTGCGAGATACATGTTTCAATCAATCCAGTTGATAAAGGTCCGTCTCCACAACGACACTATTATTCTATCTAACCTTTATAACAGCAAAACATAGCTTACTTTATGGCCTCATTTAAAGTGAAAGCATTTTATATTCGCTCAACATTGTTCATACATCAAATCATGAACTTTGAGAGGAATGAAGAACATCACGCTTTTTACAATATCCTTACAAAGAGGACAGGAAAATCGGAAATATACAAGTTGATGTTTACCAAATCATGTCATCTACTCTCAATCCAGGAGACTGGATCGATGGGCAGAACACTTTAGGGATCAGTTCAACTGGCCTCGAGCCACTCTTCGGTTACCCACGATCTCCAGTCATCCTGAATGGCAAATCGACGTAATTCCCCCTAGTCTTAATGAAGTTGAAAAAGCGTTAGGAAATCTGAAGCAAGGGCGAGCTGCATGTCTTGATAGACTGACTCCTGAGATATTTAGGGAGGGTGTGTCCCAATCTATAAGAAAGGACAAAAGTCTTCTTGTGACAATCACAGGGGAATAAGTCTAACTAATATAGTATCTAAAATACTGGCCTCAATAATACTTCGACGCTTAACGAAAGCTCGTGAAGAGCAGACTCGAGAAAACCAGTCTGGTTTTCGACCTGGACGTGGCTGTATAGACCACGTCTTCACACTCAGACAGGTCCTGGAACATAGACACACATTTAGGCGTCCTACAATAGTTGTTTTCCTGGACCTTAAGGCGGCATTTGACTCTGTTGATCGTGAGGTTCTGTGGCAGTGTCTGTCATTGAAAGGTGTACCAAAGAAGTACATTAACCTCATACAAGCTCTTTACTCGAACACCACTGGTCGAGTGAGGGCTTATGGCGAACTGTCACCGGGATTCTCTATATGCCGATGACATAGTCCTACTTGGTGAAGACGCTGACAAAATGCAGTCTTCTGACTACCCTAAGCAACAATGCAAACATGTTCGGGATGCGGTTTTCCCCCTCGAAATGCAAAATGTTGCTTCAAGATTGGGTTGCATCGACACCTGAACTAGTGATAGGGAGTGAAGTAGTCAAGCGTGTAGACCACTTCACTTATCTGGGGAGTCTCATCAGTGCTGATGGCCTGGTGACTGACGAAATCTCAGCACGGATACAGAAGGCTCGATTGGCTTTTGCCAACCTGCGTCACTTATGGCGTAGGCGAGATATCCGTTTGCTGACTAAAGGACGAGTGTACTGCGCAGTAGTTCGCTCCGTCTTACTTTATGGTTGTGAAACATGGCCAGTGAGAGTAGAAGATATTCGTCGGTTATTGGTTTTCGATCATAGGTGTCGTAGAAGCATTGCTCGTATATCCTGGGACACTCGAGTGAGCAACGCTGTTATTAGGAAACGGGTGCTAAGTAAGAATGGGAGATCAATAGATGAAGTGGTGAAACTTCATTAGTTGAGGTGGTTGGGACATGTGCTGCGTATGTCTAACCAACGACTGCCTCGACGAGCTTTGTTTTGTAGTGTAGGAATAGGTTGGAAGAAAGCTAGGGGCGGGCAAACCAAAACATGGCACAAATCCATGTATTCATTGACAAGTAGACTTAGCCATGTCGGTAGTTGTCGACTACCTGGTTGGGGTCCGCGAGATGACAATAATCGATGGTTAGATACCCTGTATGAAATGGCTCAAAACCGTTTGCAATGGCTCCGGTGCATTTATTCTTTGTGTTCTCTCAAACCCTTATCTTCTGGATTCTCCAACACCTCTAGTTTTGACTTTCTAAACTTTTCTCACTGAATCATATTTCTTGAATAATATCTTCTAATCCTAACCTCTCCGATTACTTCTAATACCTTTACTACCTCTTCTACTATTGGATTTGAATTGAAAATTATATCTCTGTGCTGATAAGGTGTGTCAACATGAACTGATGTACTTACGTACAAAGTTCTACGTTGCATCTAACTGACTGACTGACGGACTGAAATCATGTCATGTACTTCGTAGTATGTTCAGATAAACAATTATTTTGTGTTATTATTTAGTTCCAACCGTAAAATTCCCACTTATCTTATTATCATCACATTCTAAATGATATAACACTTATATTATTTGTACCTTATTTCTAAATGAAATAATCAACCAAAGTTTAATATCGACAGAGCAATGATTTCTTAAATGAAGCCTTATCTATATAGGTAATCACATTTAATGGACTTTGATTTCAATCTAACAAATATTAAAACTTTATCGTAAGGTATGACTGTTTTTGTGACTGTTAAAACTTATTCACTAAGATTCAACAATCAATTTTAATCTAATCAATTATCTTGTTTTACAAATTATAATACAGTAAAAAAAAGCCAAAATCAATTGAAATATGAACAGATAAAATGGATGTAAGGAAAAGTTGTAAATCAGTATATATATATATATATATATATATATATATATATATATATATATATATATATATATACAACTGAAATGATTTCAATCTATAAGATTCTAACTGAACTTAATATTAATCAATTAATGTTCGAATTTAAACATTTTGTTATTAACTAATATTCTAGTAGTGGTTAAACTTTTAAACATCAACACGAAATAACTTTCTGCTGTGCTTAATCATTTTAAATTTTAGTGTAAAATAAGATAATAACATCAATGGCTAATCATTGAAGAAGATAATTTACAATTTGGAAGTAAGGAATGTGTACTCCTTATAGGAATTTTTTGATTATCATTGAATTACTGCTAACACATGATTACTTTTTCTAAAGTAATTTAAATAAGACGCAACATTTTCACATAAGAAAATGAAGTAATATCATCATAAAGTATAGAAAATATCACTGAGACTAACTTGTATATCCCATCCAGAAGCATCAAGGCCAGGTAAATTCATTGAAATATCTAAACATGATTGATTTCCTGTGTAATTCGTCAATGTTAGTATAGCCTTGGCTAATAGAGAAATTCTAGTTACTGGAGGTTGTTGAGGATTGTATTCAGATAAACTGCTACACAAATACTAAATTATTGAGAGAAAATCAAGTGAGAAATCAATCACTACAAAATTACCATGAAATTAAACCTTGTTCGTATAGAAGGGAAAAGATATATTGTATTGGGGATTGCATTATTTACCAAAAATTCAACCTAAATCAGTCAAAAAAGATATTTTGATTATTGTTGTAGCAGATAGCGAACCGCTTTCAAATCTGGCGACCTAAACTTTTAACATGAATGGCTGATTCTATAGTCAATCAAACAGATAGACAGATACAACACAGAACTTCGTACGTATGTTCATCAGTTCAGGTTGCCATACCGCATTAGCAAAGAGACACAACTGTCAGTTCAAATCCAAGAGTGGTAGCGATAGTAGGAGTATTATCGCTACCACTTCCACATTAAATAAAATCTAATCTTCCTTTTGCATAATAAAGTACAACTGAAGTGTACTGAGTTGTGTTTATCTTTGTGTTCTCTAATAGTTCAGGGTTAAATTGCAGTGTCAAAAGCGTCATAACCCATCAAAATATCAAATGACTAAAAATTACATAAAAATTAACATTGAATGGCTTAGTGAAACAACGAACAACGAGTGTTGAGATTTTTATATAGTATAACGACAGTAATGACTTACGGACTAGACAAGGACACTTAAAATTCAAAGGCGTATCTTACTTAATCATGATAAGTTAAAAATTGTTAGTACTGTGTTCAAGACAATGTATCGAGTGCTAACAAACCTGAAAAGCAGCAGTGGGTGGTAGAAATTTTGAGACAACTTTAAGATAACCAATAGACACTATCATTGATGATGAAACTAACAATAACAAATGACTATATCAACTGTAGGTTTGAACCCATTTAGAAACACTGAATAAAGTAATTGGGAGTTAAATATCTAGTTATTATAAGTACTTTAAATGCTTCAGTAACACCTGAAAATTGTTAATAAATATGGGTTAATAAAAAGTTTTGATATATATCAGAGGAGAATATGAAGAAGCAACATTACTATTCAGATTCTGATTAATTAAAAATGTTCCATATGTGATTAGTGCTTTAGGAATAGACAGTATGCATGAAAGTCAGTCAGTCAGTTGCAACGTAGAACTTCGTACGTATGTACATAAGTTCATGTTGCCATACCACATTAATAGCACAGAAACGCAAATGTCAAATCAAATCCCATAGTGATAAAGATAGTAGAGGTATTAATGGTAATAAAGAAGACTAGGGTTTAAGATATTATTCAAGAAATATAATTCAGTGAGATAAGGTTAGAAAGACAAAGGTAGAGGTGCTGACGAGTCCAAAAGATTAGGATTTGAGAGAGCTCAAAGAGTGGATGCACCTGCGCCATTGCAAACGATTTTGAGCCATGCCATTCAAGGTATCTAACCATCGATTAATATCATCTCGCGGACCCCAACCAGGTAGTCTACATCTACCAGCATGACTCAGTCCACTAGTCAGTGACTTCATGGATTTGTGCCATGTTTTGGTCTGGCCGCCCCTAACTTTCTTCCAACCTACTCCTACACCACAAAACATACCTCGTCGAGGCAGTCGGTGGTTAGGCATACGTAACACATGTCCCAACCACCTCAACTGATGAAGTTTCACCACTTCATCGATTGATCTGCCATCCTTACCTAGTACTCGTTTCCTAACGACAGCATTGCTTACTCGGCTGTCCCACGATATACGAGCAATGCTTCTTAAACATCTATGATCGAATACTAGTAACCTACGAACATCTTCTACTCTTAACGGACATGTTTCACAGCCATATAAGAGAACGGAACGAACCGCTGCGCAGTACACCCGCCCTTTGGTCGGGTATGCATGAAAAGTCAAAACTGTAGTAATTAACAATGAACCAAGTAGTCAGTGAAGTTTTTTGTTTAGATAATAAAATCACTGTGAAGAATACATCTTTCTTGCTTCAGTGTTGTAAAAGATGAGTTGGTTATTGTTATGTATCATAGAATAATAATCCTTTAAAAAAAAATCATGCTTTAATTAAGGTCAGTTCATGAATATAAGACTATGTACTATAAGCACTCCAAAATACAATGCAGTATTTTAATGCTAGAATTTTAAACATATTTAAAATTTCCCTCTGGACTGTTGAGGACTTTTCTGTACGATAATTGACAGTAACGAGTTAATATTTTATGAGGTAATAGATTTTATATAGTATTTAGAATTTCATTTGAGAAGCGGATCAAACTTATACGCATCTTTTAATGTTAAAATTAAGTTTTAATAGCATATGTTACACGTAATTTTAACTCTAAAGAATCTGGTTGATCAACTCTGAGGAATATCACAGATAGCAGATGCTATAAGTGTATTCGGATTATATCTTGTAACTAACTGACTACTGTCCTACTAAAACGTAATTTAACTTAGTTCCAAAGTAACTATTGTAACACGTTATTCTATCGTTTATAACATAAAAAAAGTTTGATACACTACGTAAAGCTGCCAGTATACTATATAAAGTGAAATGAATAATATTGTAAGCAAATGGAATAGAAGAGAAGAGATGACACACAACTGATCAATATAAAAATAATACAATTCAACAGTCATGAGAAATTTTGTCCGATTTGAAACTGTCAATAAAAATGTATAATACACGATGAATAAATATATATCACAAACCTTGACTGGCCATGCAGGTAAAGCACCCAGAAAGTTAGCTGGATAAGGATAGTTGACCATAGATATTGTACCCAAATAATCGGACAAGTAATCTATGATATTCTGAACGTCAGTTAATGGTGTACAAATGTTAAACATATGAGTTAATAACTCTTTCCCATCAGCTAATTAAAACAAAATAACATAGAATTATGGAAATATACAGATAAAAACAGATTTTAATAGAAACATAGAAAACTATTAGTTAAATAAAGTTGCAAGATAATTTTATTCAATCAACAGAATATTAAAACGTTGGAATACAGAGTCAATTACATATTGTATAAAGTTTAGCTTGAATTAACAGTAATAATAATAATCAATGTTTTCATACTCCAAATACATACAACAACACTAGAATTGGAATGATAACATATGAACGAACATAAGTATTGTGATACAATAAGGAAGCACAATAAAGTAAACATCCAATGACTCAACTGAATTCGGAATTTGATCATTATTTATTTTTTCTGATAATTTTGTTGGTACTAGTTACTTTAGGAATATTTGCTTTTAAGTATTGTCTTTTTAAGTAATCAAACGACGCCTCAAACGAATAAATTTACTAACAGCACGTTATTCAGTGTTAAGCTGAAAATTGGTATCGACAGAGTCTAGTAACTGAAATACAATCAGTCATGAGCAATATTTGCATCAATCCAAGTTTTTATACAAACATTAGGAGCAATTGTCGTATGAGTAGTAGTAGAAATAATTATGTGTGGAAAGAAAATAAGGGTATAGAGAGATTTTAAGACTTGGAACTTAAAGGAAGGTAAAGAATGAATGCATCTGCACCACTGTAAACAAATTTGAGTTATGTCACGAAGTATATCCAACAGCTGATCCCGGTTACCGTGCAGACCCCAAACAGTTAGTCTGCACCTACTTAAATGGTTCAGACATACAATCAATGACTTCACCAACTGATATTATGTCTTGGTTTGGCCGCCCCTACAGCCTCCTCTTAGTTTATTCCAGTACTGACAACTCGATTGAGTCATGTTGGTAAGTGTAGACTACCAGGTTGGGGTCCGCGAAATGATACTAATCGATGGTTGGAGTTCTTGAATGACATGGCTTGAAATCTTTTGCGGTGGTACAGGTGCATCCATTCTTTGTGTTCTCTCGAATCCTATATATATACATAATACGTATTATTATTATTTCTGTTTATTTTTTCCACTCACTCTGTTACCCTTATTCCCTTTATTTCTCTACAATGTTATTGATTCATTTGTGTGTGGCATTATTCTTGGTTGCTCCTATTTTAATTGAATTTATGTGCGTTAAGTACATAAATACAATATCTTTTGTCCATTTTCCATCCAAATGACAGATTAACTGAGAAACAGCCCTTTCTGTTCTACTTAGTGTTTAAAACATGGCCATTTGTAGGTTACTAAGTATTCGGTCATAGATGTCTTTGAAGCACTTTTCGCGTATTTTGCAACCGTTGAGCGAGAAATGTCGAGGTTATACAGATAGGGTACTAAGCAAAGACTGCAAATAGATTGATGAGGTAGTGAATCTTCATTAACTAAAGTGATGGTGACATGTATTACGTATTCTTGATCACTCTCTACTTCGGCGGGCGATATTGGTTGGTACTTGTCGTGTTTTAATCTGGACGCTCCCAACTTTCTTCCAATCTACTCGTACACCAAAAAAAATCACTCACTGAGGCAGTCGGTGGTAGAGCATTCGCAACACGTGTCCTAACCATTTCAACTGACGAAGTTTCAATACTTCATCTATTTATCTGCCGTCCTTACCTAAAACCTATTCCCTAACGACAGCTTTATCCAATCAGTAGTCCCAAGAAAAACGAGCAATGCTTCCTAGACACCTATGATCGAAAACCAGTAACCTACCAATATCTTCAACTCTCACCAGCCATGTTTCACATCCATATGGTAGGACGGAGCGAACTGCTGTGCAGTACACTCGTCCTCTGATTAACAAACGAATATCTCGCCTGCGCCACAGGTGACGCAAGTTGGCAAAAGCCAATCGAGCTTTCTGTATCCGAGCTGAGATTTCGTCAGTCACCAGGCCATCAGCACTGATGAGACTCCCCAGATAAGTGAAGCGGTCTACATGATCGACTACTTTACTCCCTATCACTAGTTTAACTACCGATGGAACCTAATCTTGAAGCAACATTTTGCTTTTCGAGGGGGAAAACCGCATCCAGAATATGTTTGGATTGTTGCTTAAGGTGGTTAGAACGCTCTTCGCCAAGTAGAACTACATTATCGGTATATTCTAAGTTAACATGTGAGTCTCATGGTAGAAAGTCAATTACTAAAAAGTCAGACAATGATAGTGTCGTCGCCAGAAGCATGTCAGTGACAAAGTTAGACAACAATGAAGTGGAAAGCCCTGACTAACATCACCGGAAGTAATCAATTCTGATGACAATTCGCCACAAGCTCTCACACGACAAGCAGTGTTCTTGTCGAGAGCCTGTATGAGGTTAGTGTACTTCTTTGGTACTTTTTTCGATGACAGACATTGCCACGATCGACAGAGTCGAATGTAGCCTTAAGGTTGATGAATACAACAATTGTTGGATGCTGAAATGTATATCTATGTTTTAGGACCTGTCGTAGTGTGAAAATGTGGTCTATACATCCAAGTCCAGGTTGAAAGCCAGCCTGATTTTCTCTGCTCTTCACGAGCTATAGTTAGGGGTCTAATCATTATCGAGGCTAACAATTTAGAAACTATATTAGTTAAACTGAATTCTCTGTGATTATCACAAGAGGACGTTCGTCATTTCTTATAGATTGGGACAATCAGTGATTGAGACCAGTCAGATGGGATTACGGCCAGTTCCTAGGGTCCTTCCAAGATCTCAGTCTGTCTAACTGCTAAGATTGGACCACTAATTTCACCCTCCCTTGAATCACAGATAAAAGAAACTCAAAACATAAGTTGGTTTTCGTATACTTCTCGATGAGTTTCAGTGCTAAAGAAAATACATTGGAATAAAGAGAATTGTGCTGTAAACAAAGAATAAATGTGCACCGAATATTTAAATTTAGGTTTTATTGGCACAAATAACGTGGATTTTGATATAGTCTTTGTCTATGGTATTATCACTAAGAGACTAAATGGGTGACCGAGTTTATACCATTAATGGATTAGATACTTGAACGACACACTACACAGAATCTAGATTAAGTCAGACCAGATACACGACTTACGACCAAAACAGAGAACCAGAGTAAGATAGACACCATTTCATTCCACACACACAATGAGTCCACAGTAGAAAGCATTGGCAGAAAAGAAAACCACATAATCAGTATGCTGTGCCGGTTCATTCACACTCAATGATGAATCACATTTTACTTTCACTAACGCACATTATGATCCTACTGAAAACCTGTTGTTTACCATAACAATAGATGAGATCAGAGATTCTTTTGTAATGATAGGAACATTTTTTTGACATCCCGGGAGAATAAAACAAGGAGTATCGACAGATGATATTTATGAAAACAAAATAACATTCTAACAGATTACTATAATTAGAGAACAGTATAACTTTCGTAATAGTAGCTAAAGAGATGAACATGCTTACAAAACAGTGGTTACATGTAACATTACCAACTGAATAATCACAGACATAGATTGATAAATAAAGCTATGCCTTTTCAAGAACTATCAAACAAAATGAATTAATGCTTTCTGTGTAGTCTGAAAGGTAGATTGAAACAAGCCCACTAAATCTTATCGAGACTGAAGTGGAAGTAATTAGTTTCGATCGATGAAGAGCAGCAGGATCAGATAGGCTAAATCAAAAGGTCTTTCAGTATAATGATCTAGTTTTGACACTTGAGTTAAATAAAATACTACATAGAGTTCAAAGACTGGAATTACGCCCATTTGATCTTACCCGATTTCTGGTCATCTCAGTCCAAGAAAGGATAGGAATCCTCTCATGATGGTCAGTTTGACTAGTTTAGTGTATAGAATAATAACCTGCCCAGCTATCCGACCTCTAAAAAAGCCCTAGAACAATAAACCAGGGGAAAAGAAACCTGTTTCAGATCTAGTAATAAATAAATTGGCCAAAAATCCGTCAGGTATTAGAGCATAGACCCACCACATCCAGAACTAGTGATGTAATTAATATCATGCCTTACATGAATTATGACTGAGGTGAAGATGTATGGGTAAATACAAGCATAATGTCAAAAATCGCCTCATATTTTTAATGGTTCAAACTATTATACCATATCGGTATGGAGTAAAAGAAAAATCAAAAACGAAGTTCTTGGTGAAAAAAAAAATATTATATTCAGGACATTTGAAAAATGAAATTAAATAAAAAGAACTATTTCACTGGAAAATAACTGAGGTTGTACTACTTAGAATATTTGACTAACGATTACACTTAACTTGTGTACCCAGGCCAGAAAATCTACATTTACTTGCATGATTAAAATCGATGATCTGAGACTTCATAAACCGATGTCATATTTTGCTCAGTTACTCTTGAACAATAAGTAATAAAGTAGGATGCTGTACCGAAGAGTAGTGATAGCCCTATAAAGTCTTAGGGATATATATATGAACCAACAAGAAAATTATTTTAGTAGTTGGTAACATTAAATAAAATTGCCATTAGTATACTTACCACTTTGGCCTATGTCCACAATATTACTCCAGGAACTTTGTATATTTTTAACGCAGTTTTCGCCACCATATTTTAAAAAGCTGTTTGTTGCCACCATACTAAAACCATTGCAGTCAGATAAACCTGGAAACAGCCATACTGGTGCAGAAGAAGCTATAGCACTGTAAAGCAGTAAGAAAATGAACGGATCAAAGTGAATATAACAATACAATAGACATCTTTTCCTATGGTTGCTAAATACGCAGAAGTGAGTCGGTCTGAAGTGCTAACACTCCCAACATAACGCGAATCAACAAAACAAACTCTTAAAAATATGATTAAATAGTGTAAAAATTTACAGGATGATATGTTAATGATTGCAAAGGCTGAAAAGAGTGAACGGAATCGCGATAAGAGGACAGACTTTCCGGTTCATTATTAAGTGACAATCTCCTACATCTGGTGGTTCTTGTCTGAAACAGCCATTCATACCTTCATGTACATTCTCAACTTTTGTAATTTACACTTCAATTAGCATAAAAATTAGGACAATATGATCCATCAGTATGCGTAGAAGAATTTAGTGGTTTTAGTTGATGTACTTCGATGAATTCAATAGTCAACTGTCTATCATTGTTTAAAATGAAACGCATCTTTGTTTGGCCGTCTGTGGCTGTCACACAAGAAACGATGCAAAGATCTCTAGGAGTTGACCATTTACGAAATTTAACCGTGTGCTAGCTATGCAGATCACTTAGCATTAAAGAACATAGTGGGAAATCTGCAACAGTTCAAATAGAAAATACGAATTTCTGAACAATACGAGATTACAATTTTTTATACAGACAATCATGAAAGCCTAACAAATAGTTGGATAGGAGATATTAGCTGTTGCACTCGAGCCATCCATTTAACCTCTTCATTAAAAGAAATGTAGTTAGGAAGACGAATAAGGTTGTTATTCGGAACTCGGCAAATGAAAGTTACATGTCAATTTGTATGAAGAAAGGTGAGGGATCAGTAATAATAATATTAATAATGCTATTTTATCCTACGGCAGAAACAGAACTATGATATGAACGAAAACAGGACGTAAGTACACAGTTAACCTTCTGAGAATGACGTTATGAAAACATTTACTATTCCCGAGTAAAGTCCTAAATATAGCGGACAAACAATAATAGTTGAATATCATTCTATACCAATTTGTTTGGATAGATTTTTCGTATATTTCTGAATACAAGAACAGGTAGTTTTATTAATCCACAAAACAATATGACTACGAGCGTATTGTTAATAAATCATTCACCTCAACTACTTTTTAATGGATGAAATAAATCAATAAATTAGATCTTGAAACCAATTATCTCAAGGTCACATTTCATTATTTCGAAATACTAGCTCGGCACAACTGTATTATCACTTTGGGAATCGCATCCTATTTGTAAAAATTCAAACTTTTATCGTAAAAAGTGTCCCCATTGTAATATATTTCCGAATTACTTTAAACATAGAGGGCAAAGCGAACGAATCGAGTCACTAAAAACTCATTCTACATGATAAATGAAAAACAAACTACTAAAATATGCTTTAAATTACCCGGCGATTTGATTAGGATACTTTTGTCTGATCCAGGCAGAGAGCATACCACCATAGGATCCTCCGAAAGCGATTACAGGTGATGAAGCGAAGCATGAGTGATTAACTTTTAATTGATTGATTAGAAGCACATAATCAGCCAGTGCTTGTTCAGCAGTTAAGTAACCAAAGTGCTGACGGTCCTTTGGAATTCAGAAAACAAAAAGTTCCTCTTTAGATTGATCTCAGATAAGCAAGAAACAAAGATTAGAGCTTCAAGTAATGAGGTATTTAAATGATCAACTTCGGCGAAAAAAGCTTAAATTTTGTGTCGGCAAAAAATTTAGTCGTATTAATTACATGGAATCGGAATCTAGTCACAAGATCTATACTTTAAAAAAACTTGTATTTATTAGTACCATGAGTAGTCTACTACTCAGTTAGTCAGCTACAAAATAGAAGTTTGTACGTAAGTACATAAGTTCTGGTTGCGATACCACACTAGTACTGAGAGATTGAATTAGCGATTCAAATCCCATAGTAGTAGAGGTAGTAGAAGTATTAGCGGTAATCAAAAAAGATTAGTGACCAAAGATTTCATTCAAGGAGTATATCGATCAGGAGTGAATTTTCTTAAAAAGGGAGATAAAAATGGTCATGGGCAATTCAGAAGATTAAAATTTTAGAGAACGCAAAGAATGGATACATCTACACTACTGCAAATGATTTCAAGCCATGTCATTCAGGATCTCTAACCATCGATTACTATCATCGCGCGGGTTTTATCCAGGTAGTTTGCACCTACCAACATGGCTCAGTGAACTAGTCAGTGACTTCATAGGTTTATGCCATGTTTTGGTTCAGCTGCCCCTAGCGTTCTTTCAGCCTACCAGTAGACCAGGCATGATCGCTCAGTGAGGTAACCAGTGGTTAGGAATTTGTAATACATGTACACTTCGTCTCCCAATATAACTGGAAGAAACCCACGTTCTGCGGTGAAGTATATTAAAGCAGTCGGCTTCTAACTACTATAATTTGGTGTCAGGGTGTTGTTCTATGCGAGCGGTCGGTTGAAACATCACATCTTAAACGAAAAATGGAGCTAAATCGCCTAAATAACTGGTGTTTTGTCAAAGAATTACATCAAATGTGTCAAATCTTATATGTACCGAAATAGTGTATGCTGATACAGATTATCGAAAACATATTAACCAAATTTCCATTCACAGCAGAAAAAAGTTATTTTAAGAGTCATATATACAGAAACTGTGATGAAATGAATGTAACAAGAACTACAATATAAAAAACACGGAAACACCAAACAAATTTGCTGACTGTGAATTACCTGATATAAATACACAGTACTTGAGAGAAAATAAAGCACAAGTTTTGAAACTAAAAAATTCCAGGTAGAATATTGTGAAGTAAGCGTACTTAGAACATATGGGAGGAATATAACAACAGAGATAAGTGAAATGAGGAAGTACACTGAAAGGTAATGTTACAAACAGCGCAGTTGCTGAAGTAAATTATCTAGCTAGTCGGTAACTGAACTCTAAAAGAAATTTTGATGAAAAAGTGGTCACACACAAAAGTAATTGCTGGGTTAACAATTGTGACTCACTGTGAAAGAATTATTCCCGAATGGCAGAGACGTCCCGTAGTAGCGATGTTCGGCGAAGATGACAGAAGCATTGAGTTCACGAGAAAGCTCCCAAATAAAGCCCTAATTTTTAAAAATGACAAAAATTTAAGACATCTGAATCAGTTTTTAGGCAATTACAGAGTTCTCTGCAAATGTTTCTATAGCACCTTCGTTCCCCGTGTAAAAAAAAATTGGGCCACCCGGAGAGAACGATTCGTTGTTAATGAGGTACTTGATAAGGAATTTGTCTTCATTCACGAAAGAAAAATGGTCAACCTAAATTAACATGAATGGATATTTAGTCATTTGTATAACTACCCTAGTCCAAAAGTATTTTGTTTCATACTTGAAACCTGAATTTTCATTTGTTAATACCGGAAAGTGTCTATTAACAAAGCCGTACGATAAAGGTAGCAAACAATTTAGAACTAAGAGTAAAATCATCCCGTGACCTCACAAACCATAAACTGCGCTAGAATACAAAGAGAGGGGATACAACGCATTTCTTGCATCCAATATCCAATATCTTTTTGACGAGCTAGTAAAAACCAGTTGATTTCTTTTCGCTCGATTACTGTTCTTTCGGTACGGTTCCAGGTTTTCGGTAGGATCCAATGAATAGCAGTCTAGCCACTCGACTATTTAATTCTAGTCAGTTAGCAGTTGCTTGTAAGTTTGTACGTCTCGGGATTTGAATGAAAACGTTTGTTTCAGGGAAGTAGGGTTTCTGGATACCAGCAGCTATCACATTACCAGACCGGAAATCAGTTAGTTTCAATGTGGAGAGTAATAAGGGTAATAAGGGTAAATTAAAATGATAATATGAGTAAAATTTCAGAACTGGGTAATATATAGATGAATTTAGTTTGTTAATTGGTAGTGAAGACTGTGAGAGATGACCGAGGTGTTAGCAGGAAACAGAGATAATGGGCGAGATAGATTAATTTGGTGATCTGAGGATATGGCAATGATAACAACTAGCAGGTCTCAAAATATGCATCATGAAAAGCTTGTCCAAGAGGGAGATGATAGTCCGTATGTGAGTCAAGTCTCTTCTTAAAGCTGTCTACTGAGGGGGCTCTGGTCACCTCGGCTGGGAGGTCATTCCAAGTTGCGACGACTCGTAATGAGAAAAAGTGTGCACGAATCTGAGTATTCGCTCTTTGATATGCAATCTTTCGAGGATTGCCTCGAGGAGAGTGGTTATGATGCATCGGTAAGGTGATCACTTTGAAATGGTTTGGCGTGCTTAATATGTTGTACACCACAATCAGATGACCTCTGATTCCCCTGTAACTCAGTAGAAATAATTGCAAGTGCTGGAGTCTATCTTCGTAAGGCTTATTTTTCAACTCTATCACTCATCTGGTCGCTGGTCTCAGCACTCGATTCAAGAGATTTATGTCTCTTTTGAACAGAGGGGGTGCGATGACGTTGTTAACCTCCAGGTGTGGGCGCTCATACGTCTTAAATAGAGTCAAAAGCAATTGTGGGGTGATCGCACCAAGTTGTCCTCGCATAAAGTGAAGAGTCGCATTTGCCTTGGCTGCGTCCCCTACATAGTCCGGGCTCGTGTGGAGGCTTTCTGTGATTAGTAAACCGTGGTCGCACTCTGAGGAGACATTAGGGAGCGGATTTCCATTGAGGGTGTAGATTGTTTCCGTCGTGTGAGGCAGAATATGCATGATGTGGCACTTCGGTAAGATAACTGAGCCTAACAGGTCGTATATAAATATCAGGAAGAGAAGTGGGCCTAGGATGGTCCCCTGTGAAACTCCCAATGTGGATACTCGCTAGCTCGCGTTCACTCTATCTATCTTGGTACGAAACTTTCTATTCTGAAGGTAGTTTCTGAGCCAAGATACTAGTGGGTCAGTGAAGCCCATTTCCACAAACTTTTCGATTAGGCGTGCGTTGGGCATTGTATCAAAGGCTTTTGCGAAGTCCAGAAATATTACGTGCGCCAGTAGTTTTCGGTCCAAACAGGATGTTTAACTGTCCTTTGCTATGAGAAGATTAGACGCGCACAACTTACCTTTACGAAACCCGTGTTGAGCTTCATGGAGTATTTTATTCTTATCCATGTACTCTCTCATTTGTTCGTCCACCAGCCCTTCCATTACTTTTGATATTATTGGTAGTGAAGCGACTGGTCTGTAACAGGCTGAGTCCTTTCTATCTCCTTCTTTGAAGATTGGAGAGAGAATAGCTTGTTTCCATTCAGCTGTGAATTGGTGTGACTCTGTACATGTGGGTGCCTAGTTTAATTGCTCAGTAAAGTCAGTGTTGAAGATCTCGGCCATCTCTAGGTTGTTGAGGTCTTCCCCGTTAGGTCCTTTGAGAGAACACAACCCTTGATTAGTAGGTTTTCTTTTGGACATGAACATAAATAGATGTTTTGGGTTTGCCTGTCACTTCGAATTTTATTATTGCATCTGTTTCCCGTTCGGTGTACCCTTCGGAAGAGTGTCATGCCTGGTAAGCCCACTTCTTCGTCTGTAATGTCAGAGGATAGCTTTGTTTCAGTTAGGATTATGATCTTCAGATCCATCTGGGAGCACGTATTCCTGATTTCTAACTGCTTACCCCTTAGTTCTCTTACGTTGCTGTAGAGGCACTTGGTGCACTTCTGCAGCAACAGTCGTTGTCGGATTTTCAAACAAGTTATTCAAACCTTGTGTGGGAATTAATTTGTCCCACAGATGTAATTCTAGAACGGTAAACGCAATACTGGTGAACACAGAGTCTATGGGAAAGCTACAGTTAAAACACGATCAGCTTTGCTTTAAAGTTCATCTGTTTCTAAACTTAAAAAACAATTAAATTAGTACGATAAATAAGGGAATTACAATTATCAAATAAGACGAACAGACGTACCGAACAATATAGCGTGTCTTATGGAGAAGAGTAAAGTTATGAGTCACATCAATATAATAAGGTAATAATGTCAATCAATTTGTAGGTCATTTACAACAAAGAAGGTTTACAGACACGTCAGATCACATCACGTGCTGGGCGCTTAAACCACCATTTGATTGGTTAGTTATGACATAACTACAATTAGTTATAAAATAACTAACACCGAGTTGGCCAGTTCTGTGAGAACTGTATATATATAAATATATATATACTGTGTCCATCAACCTTGAAGAGCGACTTATCGATGTTATATTTCAGTTGACACTGGGGGCAGTGTTCGCACCTATGCAAATAGTCGTTGGACGTTATCTAATATGCATAAAATCACCGCTCCGTGGTGTGAAAAATTCCAAAGGGCAGATGCGATGTCGTGCGTATACAAGTTAAGAGGCGGAGCACCGAATATCTGCTGTTACTTCCATGTAGTCGCAACACGATCTCCATTTAATGCCATCTGTTTTGCGAACCGAATGGAGAGAGGAGGCTCAAGGACTGTGTGTAAGACGAAGTTATACATACAGCAAGTAAACTGTCGAACTAACGCTTAGCGAAAACTAATTTGTCCAGTGACAGTCTGTGAGGGTTTTCTGTGACTGGGGGTTTGCAGGTGACGATTTGGCTTACCATATAATTAACTACCGGCTGAATCTCCTAATTTTAGTTACTTTGGGGAATTTATCAAATATAACATGAAAAAAGAATCACGCAAAATCATTAGTGATTCGGTATATATCTGTTGGAGCGTTATAATCCGACGAAGTATAGACATAAGCAGGGATGAACCTCCACAGATACTGTCGTTGACAATTTTGGTTGATCATCAGCTGCCTTGTACCGTTGGTAGAATGAATCAGGCCATTCGAAGCACGTGGTCGAAACATCGTAGATGAAGACTTGCTGCTACCAGACGATACGACAGAAACTTAGGCACTTCTGGCCACCAAGTACATAACGTTAGTGCGAAATTCGTGTGCGTAAAGTAGACGAGCGACCTGAAGTGACGGGGAGGAGACAAGTGTAAATGCAATGACCTGCATCTCGGAGTCTATAATTATAGCTATCCCAAATTTCGAAACGTTGTTGCAATTATAATATATGGTAAAGGACATTATTAATATTAATGCAACATCATAAAAATAGTGATAGAATAATAATAGACACCTTTGAACAAAAACGTCAGTTCACCAATTTTAGTGGTGACGGAGTCGGGATTTTGACCATGATCACCACTAAATACTAATTACGAATCCGTCACTGAGAATAAGAATAAATCCATGGTAAAGAAAAAATTTGCTGGCGATTTCGTGGCTTCGAAAGAACAACGATATCGAGTCAGGAAAGTGGGGCGAATTTACAATGCTGGTAGTGCAAAATGGGAGAACACGAGCAGAAATATATCGCCTAAAGGGTGTTATTAAAAAGAAGTAGAGTTAAACAAATACTGGTAAAATTGGTTGTAATAATAAATGTTTCTATTAAATCCACTGCGTTCTCCCCGTAATAGTTGATGGATTAAATGCTATTGCTTTGTTAGGCCGTACCTACATATCTTCATCAGATTCCTCTTGCTTTTCAATTATACCCATACTTTCTCAGCGAAGAGTGATTTCATTGGTGAATTTAGGGATCCCCGTTTATTCAACTGAGTGTAGAGGCGTACTATTGCAGAAGCTGGTGCTTAATTTGGTGTGCACACCTACATTTGTTGTTGAGCATGGGTTGAGGAGTTGAGGGCACATAGGTTTGCAAATCTCTTACCCTTTTCGTCCCCTTCTCCTAGTCCATGTCGTCCCATAATGTCTTCATATCCAGTGTCACCCATGCCAACCTAGACATTTAGGTCTCCCATCAAAATGGTCAAACCCTTTGATGAGTATCTCTCGATGATCGACGGTAGCCATTCGTAGAATTGATCTTTAACATCATCATTATAGTCTTTGGTAGGTGCATAGTATTAGATCACGTTCATTGTAATGACCTCTTTCTTCGTTTTCGGTGACTTATGATCCTGGGTTCATCATATTGTCATACTGTTAGTGCCTTTTGTGCTTCTTCGGACAGCGTCAACTCAATTCCCTGTGTGTGGGGCATTTTCTTATTCATGGCTGGAGTATAACAGCATCTCTCCAGAAGCTAATCATTTTGTCTAGTCTGCGGTCAATGCGTCTCAAGTATTTCCTGGTAGTAGCTCTTCATTTTTACAGCAACTTGAATTGCTTTTCTGGTCCCCCACATTGTGCCAATATTCCATGTGAATATAATAATGGTTGTTCTGGTTTTCAGAAAGGGTATCGGCCTCTTAACTTCCAAAAAACTTGGCTTTCATTATCAGATGTCATAACATTGGAGAGTCTGAAATTTTATCTATGATGTTTTGTGGAAAATTTAAGCATTCTATATGAAGCCGATGTATCTCATGAAATATTTCAGTAACTGAACAAACTTCTATAGAAAATATGTTAGCTATTTTAAAATTTTGATCTTGCCTCTAAATTGGCATGTCTCTTGTAACATATTGTTACTTGAGAAGAAATCATTATTAATCGTAACTCAGATAATTCAAGAATAAGAAAAGATAATTTTCGGAACGATTTTAAGACCGCCAGATGAATTCGTCAATCCTTATGTTAAAAGTAAATGTCTCAACCTAGCAAGCTTCGTGGATCAACCACAAGATATAATGTGAAAATCTTGATGAGGCATAAAGGGGAGAACAATAATTCTAACCCGAAAAACGAGCATTAAGGAACAATAAATGTATGTAGTAATTGATCCGAAGGTTTAGTTTAATGGCAAAACTAAGTCATATTGAAAATTATGTGTACTAGGGAAGTGCTTACCAATGTCAGATTTCGCTTTAAACCAGCTAGATATACATATCAAAAGCGAGCAACCTTGTTATAATATATCTCTTAACTTAGGTCTTATTCAACAGGGCAGTAGAGCTGTGTGGTTGTAATTAAAAGAAACAAACCCTTAAACGTGCAAACTGCGATGACATAAAATATATTGCCTACATGAAGTTGGGAGGTAGATAATATTTTAGTCCTCACTAATGTATTCAGTCTGCTCGTAAATACATATCCTAAGCTGTTACAGTATCGACTCTCGCGCTTTCTTCTGCTTGTGGTTGTTTTCCAGATTACGAAAACCTATAAATCATGGGCAAGGAATCTAATGCATTGAACAGATTGGATGCAGTCAAACCATTTGAACTTTATAAAAGGCTGAGCTCCTCTACCTATGCTCAGCAACAACTGTAGGTGTACACACCAAATTAAGCACCAGCTTCTGCAATAGTACGCCTCTACACTCAGTTGAATAAACGGGGATCCCTAAATTCACCAATAAAATCACTCTTCGCCGAGAAAGTATGGGTTTAATTGAAAAGCAAGAGGAATCTGATGAAGATGTGGTGGTACACTTTTAAGGAGAAAACACAATTGCTGAAATATAAACATTTATTGTTGAACTCAATTCTGAAAATAATTGTTATGTTGTACACCTCTTGTTTATCTGTACCAAAGACTATCTTTCGCTCCCATTCTGCTTTTTGCACGTCTCCTGCGTGGACTTTAGCAGTTTGTACGCCCTCTTGCCACAATATTACTTCGAAACATGAGGCTAGCACTATACATACTTCTTCCTCTAGAATCGCCTCTTTATTTGATTCTTAGAGTAACGGGATTACCATTTGTTATCCCTCGAAGTAGTATATTATTCGAATCGCTATACTGGTGAGCGCGACGTGATTAACATGGTATGTGACGTGGAGGCAACCGTACAGTTGTCCCGATAGCTAGTCCGCGCTATAACATTGTCTGCAACGAGGGCAGCCTGGCTAAGTGGCATATCCTCGGGCAGAGCGGCTATCGTAGGCGGAACATGGGCTGGGAAGGCCCCTGGTCACAATTCTCTGCAGATGTCGGAGTCAGATGCCGTTGGTCCTGCCAATGATTGCAGGTGCGTGAAGTGGTGGCTAGGCTTAGCATTACCCAGGGGATGACGTGCTGATAGTGTCCTCAATCGTTACCCCCTCAATAGGAGGAAATGTCGAAGAATCGCCCGCTTGAGACACTCGTGTACGTCTGGCACACCAGAATTGAGGAAAAATTCACGGACGGCGGCTATATGATCCCTAGGTATAGATTACAGGGCGTAGGCGTACATTAGCCACTGGTTCGTGATGCGGCGGATCTCAAACTGAGCTTCCAGGGCCGCAAACCTGACCTCTGGATCGTGGGGGATAAACGCTAGAGGTCGAAGATTTAGAACCCGTACCTGGGAGTCTGCTAAAACATCGTCGTTTTTAAGTTTATTTACCATTTTGGAACGCTGCTGCAGTTGTTATATATATATATATATATATATATATATATATATATATATATATGTAACGACATATATTACGCAGTAGATAAGATTGTAAGAATATTGGGCAGAAAAATTACAGACTCACCGAATTTACTGAGTATTCGAAGTTGTGGCTCAATATAAAGATATTAAGGTACAGACTATCAAAGCAAAACAGAATGTATGCTACGGACGAACACTTGGAACTCATAACGACTTTCAGATGATACCGAATTCAGATAACTCACTACGAAACTCATACCAGTTCTAACGCAAGAACCTACTATTTAGAGGATCATCACAATCGTCACGATGAAAATGTTCATCTATGCAAGGCACTCCATAACCATCTGCCTAGCACTATGATTTCCTTGATGTTTTGGGACTATACAGGCTACCACTTCACAACTCAGGGCAGTCGAGATTACTAGTCTAATCCACTATTAGAATAAATTTTGGCATTTTTGATGTTGAACTACCTTCTAGCGTGGGTTACTGTGTGACTGTGAGACTGTCTTCAAATGAGATACTAAGGCGGCCCTAATCGACACAACATTGTTCAACTGTTATACTAAAACATTTTCGCAATGGTCGTAAAAGTGATCAGTTTGAAAACGACATAAAAGGCAAAACAGCGCTAGGGAAATGTTTTTCATCTCAAATGAGCAACATCAATACAATATCATCTACTACACTTTGAGGAGATGGATTTAGACTTTTAATCGGTAGTCATAAAACATATTTGAACAGTCAGAAGCTTTCATAGTAACGACTCATCAAACAAGCTTATTGACCTCGTCATCCACATAAGATATTAAACAGTTAACCCAATGTAGTATTCTAGGTATGGTCTGTGGTTGATAAAAGTCCCAAAACACAGGTCATCAAAATGTCCGGACTCTCTGGGAAGTGACCGTAGCACGTAAAGTAATAACTGAACAATGGTTTATGCACTAAGTAACAGAGAAAAATATTATTTGCATACAAGCACTTGCGTTCTTTTTAGTTATCAAAGGGTACAGAAAGTGTTCAAGGTCAGTGCCTATTTATGAACGTGCCAGTTGGAATGTAATAGATTTCACGCTATCAGGTCATTTAAGAGTTTTGTAGTTAGTAATCACAGTCATATTTTCATCAACTCGAGACTTTTCTCCATCAACCTTTAGTTTTGATTCCTGATTTTCCGTAAACGTTATACCCGTGTTAGTGCTTAATGTTTGTTAGTTTCACTACTAATTGTTAGTAATTCCCACGTGCTGACTGAGCCATCGGCTAGCTTCTTGTATGAAATACATGAAATGGACGAGGTCACTGTATATGGTATGACAATTCGCTCCTTCGCTTATAAAGTCACTGCATGTGAACCCAATTCTGAAGGTTGTACACTTATCCAGTGTCATTTATTCAAGTCTAAGCTATTAACTTGGTCATCTGACTTTAAATTATTTTGAACTATGTAGAAAAATAACACGCCAGCCAGTGACGAACCATCTTTTAAAGGAAGGAGTTGAGGCTTCTCAGTTTGTCTTCATATGACAAGTCTGCTAGACATTTCACTATTTTGTTCCCTCGCCGTGGAACTAAATCTAGCATATCAACTTCACATCTAAAACAAGAACTCGCCTCTTGAATCTCATATTCTAAACATGGTCTCACAAATATCGGGTATAGTACCCTTAACATTTCTTCATTCAAGTAATGAAATGACTAACGAATAGCACAGGGCCCTGAATCCTTCAATAGCGGTAGCCTTACAGTTACTCGTAGTTCTGTTATAACTCATAGATCTTTATAATACATTGTCTTTAGGTAACACCATTTCATTCACTATGTAGTTATATGAATCGTCCAAGTTATGTATCATCATTACTACATTTTTGCTAGAACTAACTTCTAATGGCCACCTACACATCAATTCAACTAGTGAATTTAAATCGTCTTGTAAAGTAATCCGATCTGGCATACACCATATGAGTCTTCAGATCTTGATGTCATCAGCAAAGAGCAGAACAAATGACTGCTGCAATCGGCAAATCGCTAACAAATTAAAGGATGGGACTTAGGATTGTATCTTAGGGAGTTCCACCTTTCACAGTTTTCCATTTTCATGATTAATTTTAGAGCGTTGATAAACAGACATTCATTCATCCTATTGGTTTCTACTCCGGACAACTGTTCAGACTTATCAAGTAAACTGCTTTTAGGAATCCGACTGTAGGTGAAACTATCTCGGATAAGGATTGGCTCGTTTTTCATCCTCACTCCAGGACCACTCTGCGGATTAGTTCAATCGGCCTGCAGCTACACTCCGTTTGTCCACGATTTCCAGTCAACCTGAATGGCAAATCAGTGTATGTCCTTTGACTGTGAAGTTGGAGAAGCTATAGGGAATCTAAAGGGAGGGAAAGCAGCGGGTCCTAATAGACTAACTCCTGAGATTTTGACGGATAATGGTCCGGTTTTAGCACTAAGACTGACTGAAATCTTGGGTCGAATTTGGGAACCGGGCCTTAATCTCATCCGACTGGTCTCAATCCCTGATCGTCCCAATTTTTAAAAATGGACAAAAGTCTTCTTGTGACAATCTTAAAGGAATTAGTTTAACTAATATAGTGTCTAAGTTGTTAGCCTCGATAATAATTAGACCCCTAACTAGAGCTTGTGAAGAGCAGACTCAAGAAAAGCAGGGTGGTTTATAAACTTGGGCATGGATGTATGGACCACATATTCACACAGACAGATATTTAGGCGTCCGACGACAGTTGTCTTCCTGTAACTTAAGGCAGCATTAGACTGTTGATCATGAGGTTCTATGGCAGTGTATGTCACCAAAAGATGTACCAGGGAATTACATTAACCTTATATAAGCTCTCTACTCGAACACCACTGATCGAGTGAAAGCTTATGGCAAACTGTCATCGGAATTCTTTAGTTCAAGTGGTTTCCGTCAGGGCTGTCCATTCTCCCCATTCCTGTTTAACTTTGTCATACATATGCTTTTAGAGTTAACATTATCATCGGCTGGCTTTTCAGGAGTGGACCTACTACCAGGAGACACGCTTGCCGACTTGGAATATGCTGATGGAATCGTTCTACTTGGTGAAGACATTGACAAGATTCAGAGCCTTTCGACCACCTTAAGCAACGATGCAAGCATATTTGGGATTTAGTTCTTCCCCTTGAAATGCAACATTTTGCCTCAGGATTGAGTTGCATCGGCACCTGCACTAGTGATAGATAATGAAGCAGTTGAGTGTGTTGACCGCCTTACTTATGTTGAGAGTCGCATCAGTTCTAATTGCCTGGTTACTGACGAACTTTCAGCGCGAATACAGAAGGCTCGATTGGCTTTTGCCAAATTGCGTCACTTATGGCGAAGGCGGGATATCCGTTTGCTAACCAAATGACGAGTGTACTGCTCAGTAGTTCGCTCCATCCTACCATAACGATGTGAAACATAGCCAGTAACAGTAGAAGACATTCGTAGGTTATTAGTCTTCGATTATAGATGCCTTCGAAGCATTGCTCGTATATCTTGGGACAATCGAGTAAGTAATGTCATAGTTAGGAACCGAGTACTAGGCAGGGATAGCAGACCAATAGATCAAGTAGTGAAACGTCATCAGTCGAGGTAGTTGGGACATGTGTTACGAATGTCCAACCACCCACTGCCTCGATGAGATGTTTTGTGGTGTAGGAGTAGGTTGGAAGAAAGCTGGGGGCGGCCAGACCAAAACATGGCAGAAATCCATGAAGTCCCTGACAAGTGGACAGAGTCATGTTGGTAGGTGCAGGCCACCTAGTTGGGGTCCGCGAGATGATACTAATCGATGGTAAGAGTCCTTGAATGGCATGGCTCAAAATCGTTTGCAATGGCGCAGGTGCATCCACTCTTTGTGTTCTCCAAAATTCAAATCTTAAGAATTCCTCATCATCTCTATCTTTCTCTTTCTAAACTTATCTCACTGAACTATACTTGAATATTTTCTTCAAAACCTAACCTTTTCGAATTCTGCTAACACTTTTTCTTCCTTTACTGCTATGAGATTTGAACTGACATTTGCGTCTCTGTGCCCATGTGTTATGGCAACCTGAACTTATGTGCTCATGTCCGAAGTTCTCTGTTGTCACTGACTGATTGACTAGCATCATTACTGCCTTACTTGTCACTTTGGTTTACTTGTTAATTTATTCGGTTATGTTCGATGCTTTACCGAGTTCAAGAGAGATCATAGGTTACACTTTATTAACCATGTTAATATTAAATTTAGTTTCGGTATAGATCTATGTCAAGGTTTTTGATAGTTCATGGCTAGCAAAATTTTTCGTATTAGTAACTTGAGCATACAATAGTATTAATGGTTGTGAAATCAACCGAAAAATATATTTCGTATGTGTTCAATGAAACCAAGAGCTTAAAAGAATAGGATATTAATAATACTCAAAATGTTTAAGACTGACAAAATGTTTAGACTGACCGAGATCCTAGGTAGAATCTGGGAAATGGACGTAATCCCATCTGACTGGTCTCAGTCGCTAATTGTCCCAATCTACAAGAAAGGACAGAAGTCCTCTTGTGACAATCACAGGGGAATAAGTTTAACTAATATAGTTTCTAAATTGTTAGCCTCGATTATACTTAGACGTCTAACTAGAGCTCGCGAAGAGCAGACTCGAGAAAACCAGGCTGGTTTTCGGACCTGGACGTGGTTGTATAGACCACATCTTCACACTACGACAGGTCCTGGAACACAGACATACATTTAGACGTCCGACAATAGTCGTGTTCCTCGACCTAAAAGCGGCATTTGACTCAGTGGATCGTGAGGTTCTGTGGCAGTGTCTGTCATTGAAAGGTGTACCAGAGAAGTACATTAACCTTATACAAGCACTCTACTCGAACACCACTGGTCGGGTGAGAGCATATGGCGAACTGTCATCTGAATTCTCTACATCAAGTGGTGTCCGTCAGGGCTGTCCACTCTCTCCATTCTTGTTTAACTTTGTCGTAGACATCCTCTTAGATTTAACATTAAGCTCGTCAGATTTTCAGGGGTTGACCTTCTACCAGGAAAAATCGCTTACTGATCTAGAATATGCCGATGACATAGTTCTATTCGGTGAAGACGCTGACAAAATGCAGAGTCTTCTGACTACCATAAGCAACAATGCAAGCATGTTCGGGATGCGGTTTTCCCCCCTGGAAATGCAAAATGTTGCTTCAAGACGGGTTGCATTGGCACTTGAAGTAGTGATAGGGAGTGAAGTAGTCGAGCGTGTTGATCGCTTCACTTATCTTGGGAGTCTCATCAGTGCTGATGGCCTGGTGACTGACGAAATCTCAGCTCGGATACAGAAGGCTCGATTGGCTTTTGCCAACCTGCGTCACTTATGGCGTAGGCGTGATATCCGTTCGCTAACCAAAGGGCGGGTGTACTGCAAGGCAGTTCGTTCCGTTCTCTTATATGGCTGTGAAACATGTCCGTTAAGAGTAGAAGATGTTCGTAGGTTACTAGTATTCGATCATAGATGTTAAGAAGCATTGCTCGTATATCGTGGGACAGCCGAGTAAGCAATGCTGTTGTTAGGAAACGAGTACTAGGTAAGGATGGCAGATCAATCGATGAAGTGGTGAAACTTCATCAGTTGAGGTGGTTGGGACATGTGTTACGTATGCCTAACCACCGACTGCCTCGACGAGCTCTGTTTTGTGGTGTAGGAGTAAGTTGGAAGAAAGTTGGGGGCGGCCAGATCAAAACATGGCACAATTCCATGAAGTCACTGACAAGTTGGCTGAGTCACGTTGGCAGATGTAGGTTACCTGGTTGGGGTCCTCGAGATGAAAGTCATCGATGGTTAGAGACCTTGAACGACATGGCTCAGGATCGTTTGCAATGGCGCAGGTGCATCCACTCTTTGAGCTCTCTCAAATCCTAATCTTCTGGATTCGTCAGCACCTCTACCTTTGTCTTTCTAACCTTATCTCACTGAATCATATTTCTTGAATAATATCTTCGAACCCTAGACTTCTTTATTACCATTAATACCTCTACTATCTTTATCACTATGGGTTTTGATTTGACATTTGCGTTTCTGTGCTAATAATGTGGTATGGCAACATGAACTTATGTACATACGTACGAAGTTCTACGTTGCAACTGACTGACTGACTGTTTAAGAAAATGAATTCTAAGTATATCTGTGCAAGTCGCAGGTTTTGAAGTATATTATGCAAGGTCTTCAACCATTAAGTACACTAATTATCTGAACCTCAATCAGGCAGTAATTATTTGAATTAAATAAAATGTTTCTAATGTCATTTTAATCAATTCATATTTTAAAAATTCCTTTCATTAAGCTGACTAACATACTTGTTTTATTCCAGTTCTTTCTAGAGGTTGTTGCAATCACTCGTTTCGAGTGATAGTGAGTTGCTCTAAGTGGGATCGCTTCTTACATCTTCGAGTAAAAGCATTCGCACCCATCCTTCAATGAAAAGCATTTATAAACTATTTTCACGCTCAAGTGTACATTGTTTTCGAGGTCTATCTAATGGCTTTCTCTATGGAGACGAAATATTAGTGCCCAGTAAAGCCTTGGGAACCAAAAACCAAAGAAAGCATCAAGTTAAAATTAACACTCATTTTAAAGAAAATGTATCACTCTGCAATACGAAAAGAACTTCTTATCCTGAGTTAGATGAAAACGATTCAAAAATCAAGTAAAAGTAAACAAACTGTTGATTTATATATTTAGAGATATCATACTTCAAAAACAGGCATCACCACTTTATATTGGTTCAGAAAAACAGAAATCTTGTAAATATCCTGCCATTATTCTGGAAGGAAGTAAACTAATATCAGATGCGCTTGCAACAGGAGCAAAAGCCAAATCTTTATTCTTTTCTTCACAGGGAGTTCTGCAACAAGTCGGTGATTTGAACAATGTATTAAATGTCTACTATGTTAACCACCGGCTAATGCGTCAACTCTCATCACTTCAATCTCCTCCTGGAGTAATAGGTAGATTTTTGTTGGTTTCAGATTTCGAATTTAGTTCAGATCCACCATATATATATGCATTATATATATATATATATATATATATATATATATATATATATATACATTAATTTTAGCTTTTATGTATGGTTTTACCACTGAAGTAGTAATCAGAGGTTACAAGTTGATGCATTTGATTGACCGATTACATTGCTTACATAAGTTTGAGGATTGTCTGTCGAGTATCGAGCATTTAGCTTATTTGAGTATTCTAAGGAAGATCCTGTTGATATACTTTTTCGATCTCCAGATATCTGTATCGAGTACGATATGTCGATTTAAAGATAAATATTTGATACTGTTAAATCACTGCTTTTTTTTAATTAAGGACATCAATAAAGAACAAACGTTTACATTTAGGGCATCAGAAAAATCGATTACTGCAAATATAAACATTGTAGTGTTTAGAAGTCTGTAGTTAAATTAATTTAAAGTTGTAGAATGCTTAAACCCTTCATTTCAATTCCTGGTTTCCGATAAATTGATCTTCGTTCGCCTTAGGATATTTAAGCTGCTCCATTTTTATTCTGTCCAAGTTCTTGAAATTAGCTCATAGAAAAATGTCGATTTATTAGTATTACATTAACCCACTCATTTATTTACAACTCATAAATAGATTGATATGAAAATACACCACACAAAAAATGAATGCATCACATAGAAGTGGAAAATGAACGCCGTCCATTGAAAACGATACAAATTATTCGAAGATAAGATTTTAATGCCAATATAACTATGATAATTTCCGTTCACTTCAAAGGTGTATCTTGTTGTCAATATATAACGAAACAGTACTCGACTGAAAATCTAACACCAACTTCTATGTTTAGTCTTGTTTGTTAACATCTCAAGCAAGACGGAGTTATTGATATGAGCCTCTAATATCTAAGAACGCTACAACTGGTAAACAAAATATTTTTCTTCCAATCAAATGGCATACTTATATACGAATTATTAGACGCAAAAATTAGTCCTATTAAAAAAAACAGTTAAAACTTTAGCACCCGTAAGACACGGATTTCGTATTCCACTCGATTCGCACCGAAATGAAGAGCTAACTACTAGACCTAATTCTTATTTCACTATATCTCACCAGTTACATACTTGTCTACTATTTTAGACAGTTCTCTGCCGCAAGTCAGTGTAGATATAGGCCCCTGTCAGTTTCAATTAATTGAATTCCCTTAGTTAATTTCTCAGTAGATCGTCCGTCTGTCTTTTAGGGCTTTCAAACTCAACTTTATCCATACATTATAATGCAAATCAGTTTTCTCTTCGTGTTTCAGCCCTTTTTGAATTACCTGAACAAGATTCTTTTCGTGAAAAAAATATGAAGGGTCGCTTACCTGTTACTCTAATACTTGATCGAATTAGCGATCCCGGAAATATGGGCAGTTTGATTCGTTCAGGTGCAAGTTTTGGTTTGGATTCCATTTTGGTGACGAAAGGTATTGATTATATTTTTATAGATTTTCATTTGTATTTTATAGTACAGTACTCTTTATTTTTTGGGATTTGATTTGTACTTCGCAACCAGCATTTCGACATTTGTTAGTTTGTGACCTTAAAAACTTCATCACACCTGCCTATTTAGTCTCATCTTTTGATATGAAGTTATCTATTGTAGTTGTATAGTATACAGTATCTTTGGTTTTTCTCGACTTCTAATTCAGAGTAGAGTTTCAAAGGTTTCATGCAAACATTTATCTTCTGGTGCAACACATCACTCCCGTCAACATTTTAAACTAAAAGCGAAGAGTTTTATCAATAAAATAATTGTACAACTTAAGGATGCTCAATTGTACATACTAACTGATATCCCTTCAGAGATGATATAAAGATGGTCGTTGAACTTCGTTTTTCCGGACGAATTTAGTGTGAAATTGTGATACGATCAGTGTTTTTTCGAAATTATCCCTTAGCATTATTGCTATTCCTTAACACTTGCTTATTTATTCTAATTTATTTCTTACAATAATTGTTTGTACTTGGAGTTATGAGCTTGACAAGAATATGAGTAGGTATTTTTTACCCTCAACACAACTTTTTAGAAATAATGCCTTTCAAAATTCAATAAGAAAATAAATAAAAAATTCAACTATAATATTGATAATGTTAATGGTAAAAATAGTAAAAAAATAAAAGAGAGTCATTCATATTTAAATAAGTACATAATATAGAGACGTTTATTATCTATTATAGGATAAGAGAATAGGTACATTAGCCTCACACATACTAACTTTAAGTATCCTAGTTTGAAATAACCAATCTTAAAGTAACATCTATTTTTCTCTATTCCATCACTTACCTTTAAAACAGAAACAGCCTTACTATCGACTTAAATATCTCAGCTTACGTCGTGTTTTTGACAACTATCCATGGAGCGTGAACAATACTTGATAATTAGTGTCAATATGCATCTGTATTTATCAGTGATCCTATTCAGTGGTAAAAGAATTTTTAAACTGGGCTTACATGTATCCTATTTCTTTCGATTTGCCTTCCTCCTTATATTATAATCAAATATGTGTGAAGAATTGACATGTAGTTAACAGATAGCAATTGTTATACAGTTCCCTGTTGCCACATGACCAATCAGTCAGTTACAACGTAGAGCTTCGTACGTACGTACACCAGTTCAAGTTGCTATACCACATTAACACCGAAACGAAATCGTTAGTTCAAATTCCATAGTGGTAGACATAGTAGGAGTATTAGGGCAATGCGAAAGATAAGGGTTAAAGATATTAGTCAAGTGTAACCCAGTGCACCATTGCAAACGATTTTGAGCCATGTCATTGAAGGTCTTTAACCATCGGTTAGTATCGTCTCGCGAACCCCAACCTGGTATTCTATACTAACCGACATGACTCAATCCATTTTTCAGTGACTTCATGGATTTCTGCCATGTTTTGGTCTGGCCGCCCCTGGCTTTCTTCCAACCTACGCCACAAAACGTAGTTTTACGAAGCAGTCGGTGGTTAGGCATTCATAACATATGTTCCCAACCACCTCAACTGATGAAGTTTCAACACTTCATCTATTGATCTACCATCCTTACCTACTACCCGTTTCCTACTAGATTGTGTCAAGATAAACAAGTAATGCTTCGAAGATATCTGTAATCGATTACTAATAACCTACGAATATTCTCATCTCTTATCGGCCATGTTTCGCGAACTGCTGCACAGTAGATTCGTCCCTTGGTTAGCAAACGAATATCTCGCCCACGCCAGCATGTATACAGGAGCTTCCCGTATCAACATTCTACAGGCTAATGCACGATTGTTCCAGGCCCCACGTTGTGGATGACTAACTTGTTAGTAAGTAGGTTTTCAGTATCCTAATTCTGTCTGCCACTACTGCTTTGTGGTCCATATACTTTTCCTATACAAATGTTCTGGGCTGTATTTATCTTGAGAATATCATTATTCAAAATTTTGATAATATTTTGCCTTTTTGTTTCAGGTAGTGTAAATATTTGGAATGACAAAGTGATACGAGCAGGAATGTCTGGTCATTTTCGCATACCTGTCCATCATGGACTAAGCTGGACTGATATTAGTCGATATTTTGGAATAAGTGATGGTTCATCCTCTCGTGTTACAGTTTTTGTAGCTGATCCTGAACCACTCATGACTGATAAATTAATCGAATCAGCATGGAAAAAAGAACACATTGCAAGTTGACTTATATTTCCTTGATCTATTGTTTATATATGTAGCATGTCGTTAAGTTAAAATCTTTGACGCAGTTACCCAAAGTGCTTGTTAAAACACTTAACGTGAACACTGTTCAACCTGCTGCGGTTTTAGCACCCAGGTATTACTACTAGATTACAAAGATATAACTGAAATCTGAGCCTACAAACATGTACTTTTTGTGCTGTATGAATTATTACTTATTTCAATCGCACAAAGTGTTAGCACCTTTTCTCTAACAACTGTAACCTCATTGAATTCGATATGTTGCGAAGCAAATTCTGTTCTATGTGGTTAAAGCTTTTTAGTCTTTGTCTGTGTTATTGTAATGGGACTCTGAGGTCTGTCTATCTTGACTTGAAAATTTTTGCGTTTATATTGTCTGTTGAAGTGATTTCTTTTTTCTCTAAACATATTCTTTGGGGTTAATCATCTTTACTGCCACTGTAAGTACTTCTACTTTTACAACTTCGGTTCATAATTTTTAAAGTTTTACCTTGCATTTTTTGTTTCGATACGTCAACTTGAAGCCATGCAGTTGTGTGTTAGTTTCTACATTGTCTATCACTAGCTGACAAATAACTCAAAGTTCGAAACCCAGAATTAGTGTCATACACTTGTTCAGCTGATAATTAAGCCCGTACAAAACTAATTTGACTAGTTTTTTTTTCGATCAGGACATCCAAAATGATAGATGAGTAAAGAGACTTAATTGTGACTTTGAATAGTTGTTCGTAATCGAAAACGATTACTGAATTTAAGTTTCTACATAGATAATGATATTGGATTGGTAAGAGGCAAAAGTGAGCTAATACAATTATATATATATATATATATATATATATATATATTCTTGAGGTTTTTTATCTCCTTCACATCCTTTCATGGTTGATAGGATAGAATTCTTAAGTTAGCCTTAGCATTCACAATCCTTTAGAGTAATTTTGACGTAATAATTTCCATTTGAAGTGTGATCATGTTTGTGAAATATTGTTTTAACTTTTATTGGAAAAATCCTGACTTCTTTAGTAGTTAACAATGTTCTATCATTATTGTTTGATATTTAGTTTTATAATTTCTGTCATTCAAATACATTTTCCTTTAATCTGTTTTGTGTACAATTGTCTTTATGATTTTTATCTATAGGATCATCAGTCACAATCAATAAGCGAATGCAAAATGTCTGTTGAATGTGAAGCTGTTGATTTTCTTACTCCTGAGTCAACAGATTTGGCATATCGCTTGCCTGTACAAACTGTTCCACACTTTGCAATTAATTATGTTCCTTCTGATTATGACTCTGCGAAACATGATTGTCGTTTAGCTATTGTTCTTGGATCTGAAGCTCATGGTGTTTCTCCTGAAGCTTATCATTTAACCCATCTTACTGGTGGTTCTCGACTTGTTATCCCGTCTGCAGATGATGTAAACAGCTTGAATGTTTTGTCAGCTGCTTCAGTGTTGCTTGGAGAAATACAACGTCAATTCTTATGTTCTTAATGGCATTTATTTGATACGAATATAAAACTTTTTTTCCATAAATTGTTTTCTGTCTGTATGTGCGTATGTAGACTTCCAATGCTTGTTTCACTGTCTGATATGAAAATTGGATTGGCATTTTTTCGTTAGTTATGCTTAATAATTAACAAACCGTAGTCCATTTATCCATAGTACTATATATAAATTTATATTTTTCTGTTTATTGAATATGGTGTCATGAAAGTTTTATTATTTAGTAGATCGGTTTCTTTCCAACTATGTCGCCTCAGCTGGATTTTATATCATTAAAGTAAGTTTTAATAGAGACACGACCTAGGTAAACCGACTGTGTACTCGGTTGGTAGTTACAATAAACTTTTAAGTAATGATTATTAGCAATTAGAAGAGCTTATATGAATTTATCGCATTACATGCTTGAGATTATACGTAATTCAATAACGAAGTGGAATTCTATGTACTTGGCTCTGTGTCACTACTTTTTGTGAGCTAGCACTTTTATCCATTTGCCCAGATTGAAGTATATACGGGACTTTGTGTAAACCAGTAAGTTGGTGGTTAAAACTCGAGTACCATAATCATCGAACGATTACTGTAAATGATGGTTGAATATTGTTTGTTTGTTTGTTTGGTGAGATTTCACACGAATATTTCAGTAAATTAGTTTTTGTGCACCTAATGACAAATTACTAGTTGGTGGATATCGTTTGAAATGCAAATTTCAGTGAGTTTTTAAGTCCTTATGTATATGGCCATGTTTTGAAGTTTGCAACACTATGTTGACCTTCATCAACGTCAATATTTGTTGGAATTAGGTTGTTATAATCGTGTCTTTCATATATAATACAAGAGAAAATGAAAGTGACATCAATATTTCAAATTTCATGATATCATAATTTCATTACAAGATCACATTCAGTTAATAATCTCAAGATTATAAAATCTACATGCACTTTATAGTTTGAGATAAGAGCTCTTCTATTTCTTTAAATAAAACCTCTATAAACATGCAATTAATTCTGACAAATATGTGCACTCACTGTCATTGTTTCATTTTTTTGTAGAAGAAGTACCTTTTTCACATAAGACTACTGAATATACCTTCTCTCTTACAGTACATAGTAATTTTCAGTGACCATATGATAACATTCTGAAAATTCTCTCTTTTGATCACACCTTTACTCTCTTAAAACCTATAAATTTTAAAGTGTTGTAATTTAACTTTTACAAATTAAATAGGTACCCGATTTGATATTTGAGCTTGAATCCCTCACCTTTCCAACTAAAGTTCAGCAAAAAATCAGCTGGAATTATTGCCCCTTTTAACATCGTTTGTTTTTTAATGGAAAAATGTCTAGGCGAATTTGGGGAATATAAAGTTCGATTGATTAGTTAATTAATACTCATTAACGTAAAAACTGTCATATACATATGTGATCAACATATTATTTTTGTAGAAATTTGAATAAGGATGCAAAATAATGCTGAGACTGATAAACTTCCACCAGTAAATACTTCTGTACTTACATGTGATTGTATGAACAATTCAAAAACTGATACATTTAAAGTAAATAATGGATCTAGCACTGAAGTAAATGGTATTTCCACTTGCTCAAATCCAAACTGTCCATATGGTTATCTGAAACGAAATACTTTCACTTCAGAAGTATTCAAAATACAATTGAAGAATATTTCTCGTCATGCAGGTTTCTCTGTAAGAATTTTTCTCATAAATTTAATTTTACGAAATTATAATGATTTTATGTTTCTGTTTTAGTCAAAAGCTTGTGAATTCAAATAAATGAATACCTGACTCATGGAATCGATAATAAGTCATCCAAAAACAACAATAGTTAGTCAGTTCTATATATTCCTTTGATAATTGCATTCAGTGGCCTATTTCGCTAAAAGTTTGTACATTATAAATCAAAGTAAGACAATAAAATCCTTGGACAAACAATTTAAGTTATCATCTCTAAACATTCAGTTTTTCGTTATGATGTTTTAGTGAAATTCTATTTGACAGTCTTCTAAGTCGAACAGTTTATAATCAACTAAACTTGTTATGGATACTTAACTATAATCATATATAAATATTTGATATATTCACATACTTAGACTAACTAGTATTAGTGTTTCTGATTTTTAATCAAGTCGAGATATTCCTGAAAATGTAACTGTTTATGCTGCAACGGCGAAATTATAATTTCCATAAAAATATTAGCTTTAATTCATAGTGTTCAGTATTGACTTGATAAATGAAAAGTATATAGTGTGTCATCTATACTTAGGTCTGTATCCGTTTGATTTGCTTAAGCTGTTTAATTAACTTATTTTAACAAACGATATCATTCTGTCAGTAACAATGTGTCTGTATCCTTGTGTCATTATTATTGTGTACGGATGAGCTTGTATGCTTAATCACGTGTTACAGCCTACATATGTATTCATCTTACTAGCTTAAATCTTGGTCACCGAGATAACTCAACGATTCGTTCACTTTGAGTCTTCCATGAACTCAGTTGATTCATAAATGTATTGAAACCAAGTGAAATCCAAAATACCAGTCTCTTAGTATAATTAACATAAGAATAATTCAAGTAAAGAAAAGTACTGATCAGGTCAGAACGGGAAATCGTTCCATGACATCATTACATGCTGTTATCTGTCGTATATTGAATCTGCAAGATAACTATAAACAATGGTTCGAGACTTCAAATGATGTATTCATTTTGAATTTTCCTTGAAATCTTGGATACCAAATTATTAGCTCACGTCTTCATGATTTCGCCAATTTTGTTGGTTTTTTCTGCTACTGGTATGGTTATTACTACTATTACTACTACTATTTTAATTTCGATTAATCTATTTTTCATACTTACTTTTTTTTTCATTTTAAGGTAGTGAAGAAGTTGTTACAGTCATTGAATGTAAAATTTTGTAAGATAAAGTTTCCTAAATGCGGTTTGGCATTTCTTTCGTTCGAGTAATTTGTGCAAAATATTTTATAGAATCAATTTTTAGATCTGCTACTGATCGTGATTTCGCTATCTCCGTTTTGGATGGACACGTTTGGAAAGGTTCAAAAATAGAAGCTAAGGTTGGTACTTAATTCTCAATCTGGTGTATTACCATGATTCACCGATTTCTCTAGTTAGTATAAAGTTCATTACCGAAGATTCGAACCATTCGTTATACTAATAGATATCATACTCGTTGAAAAAGTTGGTGTCTATCCTGACCATTGGTTAACATACCGACATTTTAAGTGATAGGTAATGAACTGTAGTCTCATTGTGACAATCAACGTCAAGATGCAGGTACATTCAGCTGACGAATCTTGAACAAAACAAAGTTCACATCCCTAGATTAAATTGCTGACCACCGTCCAAAAATATTGTATTTTTGCATAATCCATCAGTGTAAAAGTTACTTTGGTTATTTAACTTGATTAATACCTTCGTGTGTATTCTGAAGGCAAAATAGAAGTGGTATTGTACATGAGTTTTAATTGTTCGATTCGAATTTATAGTTGTATCATTTCAGACATATTTTTGAAAGAGAACTACATCATGAAACAAAGAACCATAAAGTTAATTGTTATAAAATTGGCTCCTATGATTTCGACTTCGTGGATTATTATGTTTTGAATGTGGTCTCGAAATACACCAATCGAACTCTTAATAATGAGAATTTTAATAGTACAAATACACTAATCTATTCAAACAAATTAAGATATTAGAAGATCCCTACAGGTTATTTTTGTTGAATTAAAATACAAACATTGGTACAAATAGTGCACCTAAATATTTATGCGCCACACAAATTCATCAGTTTGTAAGTGGACTGGGATACTACCTGGACACCCAAACTGTAGCAGATAGTTTTTCATAAATGTCCATGCCCCGAGCGTTTGATTCAAAATTCTAAACCATAAGGTAGTGGAGCCATGTAAGAAGATGCAGTCCTGTGATATCTGGTGGCCAACATTAGGTTCTTTTCGTTAGAATCCTGGAGCCTATGTACACCATTGGTTTAGAATCAGGGTTTTCCGACTGCCCCTGGGTAGATCCTCCATATCGAACAAACCGATGAAAGTGCCTGACCCTCGCTTTTTGTCCTCTCAATTTCGTAAAAAGCATCCCACCACCACGAGTAGTCACTGAATAGGACTTCCTTGGCAGTTGTTATATAGGCATGTTCATATGAGAGTATTTTTAGAGGGAGAGTGCACTCTCCCCTACTTCCAGCCATACCAGGGCATTTGGCGGCACTCCTACAGGTGCTGTAAGCGATAACATACCCGGGATTCAGTTCTTGTGGTGGGAGTTGGTGGTAATTTCTACAAGTGACTATTTCTATCACTTTAGTTGCTTTGGCATTTCTACTTTTTTTCGATAAATTTATGTTTCACTGAGATATCCTTTGTCCCCGTCAAATAAAATTTTCCAGTTTTATCTTTGACGTCATAGTATACGAATTATTTAATCATCGAATTCTTATTGTAAGGTAGTTTCATTAATGTATTGCAGATAGAAACACGGTTTAAAAACTTGCAGCCATAATCATACAGAATCACAATCAAAAACCTTATTGGCAATATCTGCACAAAATTGATCCTTTCGTTGAGTCATGTGTTTAATTAAACCTCTCATTATGTTTGAATGACCTTTTTTCAATGTAATAAAGCACATACGTTTTGGAGGTTGCAAACTGGCCGTTATTAAGGTTGGACATACAGCTTTTTATTTAGAATTGGTAAATTAGTTTTTAAGACTCCGGACATCCATCTGTTGATGTGCTACGCATATCTAGGCGTCACCTACCTCAATACACAATTCTAGCTAGTGTATACCAGTAGTTTGAAAGGATACTAAGGATTAGCAAGTGTATACTTACTGTCTAAAATATATTGATGTTATATAATTGTTGAATTTTAACGAAACTGTTATTTATATTGAAGTTTCCTGTTCACCTACAATACTTGTAAATTAAGGGATGGTTGAGTTATTCCAACACAAACGATTCTGTTATGGACTTTAACAATTAACCACTAACGCAGAAAAAAAGACAGAATGTAGAAAAAACCCGGTATTCCAACAGAATAAGATGGAATAATACAACTCATCACATAAAATAAAAAAAGTTTGACCAAACATAGAGAAAATAGAAGGCAAACTAAAACTACTAGCAAATAATTAGAAAAAGTCAGAAATGATGCAAAATGTTGGATTAGATTGAGAATAAAAACACACCTAAGGTTACTGCTTCTAGGTAGTAGTATTTTAGCATTATTAACAAAAACTAAGTAATCCCTAGATCATTTCTAGCAGTAATATATTTTTAGAATCCTAGAAAATACCTTGTGAGTAATTGTTGAATCATTGGTGACAATCTTCATACAAAGTCATCGATATAATAATAATGTAATGTCTTCTTATGTTCACCACCTAATATGATATAGTTTCATTTTTAATCTTGATTATGTTAAGATTGCTCGTCCTCATGCTGATCCACTAATGAAAAGGCGAGCTGAATGTGAAGTGAATGCCGAACTCTTATCAAAAAAACCACATAACGATGATGGGTCAAATGAACCAGTTGATTTGGAGAAAGCTCATGAAGTGTATGTGCTTTTTTTTCTCAACACTCAAAAAAGTTCACTGATTTTTTTCGATTAAAATTTTTCATAAAGATGTTAATCTGAAGGATCTGAATTGAAGTAGACACATACATCGTATTATCAATAAATGGTTTACTGAAAATTGTGAATGCTTTTACAAAATTAGCTTATTATGCTAAAAGTTATGGTATTGTATACTGAATATCCAACTATAAACTACCTTTATTGTCTCATTTATTATTATTATCCATCCAATGTCTTAACAATTAATTATTATTGTAGATAGAATAATTCCGTTATATAAAAGTTAACTGTAATGATATTGTTCATAACACCGTTGAAAGTTTTGCAATGAAGCTACTTAGCACAGAGTATACAAACTAAAGTATCCACCTTAGTTATAAATCTCTATCATTTTATAATTAGTTACCCCTCCAGGTATTCGTCTTTATTTCGAAATCTGATTTATTCATTTTTTAGCTTAAGATTCTCATTCAGCTTATATATATATATATATATATATATATATAACTCTTAAATATTCATACTGATATGCTCATCAATTGATATGCTTGAAACTATTACGAGTTCACCTTACTCGGTAAACGGAGCGCAGATAAATGATACAGTGACATGATAGGCTATTCTAATCCGTTTGTCCTCAGCCCGGCTAACTATACAAGAGGTTTAGATAAGGCGTAGAGAATGTATTCTACAAGCACTCAGAAAACACGAGGTCTAACAAGCACACGATTGAAACGTCCTTGGAAGAGCTACAAAAATAGCGTACTAGAATAACACATCAACCAATGACAGTCAAGGATTTTCCGAGTTGGAAATGTAATAATTTTCAATAAAGAGAAAAAGTTTTTTTTTTCTAATGAAGGTTTGTTCAACTGTTTTTTCTTTTCTTTAAATAACACAATAAATGATGAATTAGTTGTTATTATTTTTCAATTCACAGACTTCGTGATTCTATTCTTCCATTATGGCGTTTAAATTATGATCCAGATCAATTAATTGAGAAACGAAATCTAGTTTTACAATATTTAGCTGAAACACGAAGAAGATTGTTGTTGATCAATCCGGAGATTGGAAATGTTGACAGCGTGAAATTTGTGTAAGATCAATGGTTTATTAATGATATATATATATATATATATATATATATAATATTATTCAGCGCGATATTAAAAGAATTAACCCAACTAACGTAAGCTACAAAGGGCTGAATAAAGTCAATTAAGGATTAGTAACGCAAAGACTTACATATGGGTTAAATTTGCATATTGGATGAAAATTTACGTAATAAGATTGACAAATGGGTAAAAAAAAAGTACCAGCATCAGTAGCTGTGTTCATTACCAAAGTGAATTCAAACTAATAAAATCGATAAGTGAATAGTACAAAGTTATATTTAATCCTCAAACTTAATGATTATGTCGTCCAAATCACTTATAAACATGTTGGCTGTACATCTGTATCAGTTTTTCTTGTGAAGCTAATGAATACTTCAATCAGAAGTTCGTTATTTTATGTGTCTATGTGATATGTAGCCGTTGGAGTAAGTATAAATCAAATTTACTTCTAATTCATTATGTAGGGTATATACTCACTATTCATTATTATGATAACGTTAAATGTTCTGATATTATTTCATCTACTTTCGTCATTTAATTTTTGTTAGAGAGGAATACGATTCAAAAAATCAACCAACGATATGTAAACTTGCCCCTATAATTCCATCTGTAAGTTGTGTTTCTTTTATGTCAATATATTTGTCAGTATTTTATATTCTACCTATTAATGTAACTCTCTAGGGAGATGAATAAATACTTCACATTAATTTATTATTCCCAGCTTTAGTAATTTCTAAACTTTCCAAGCATGATCGCTTAATCGCTTGACTACTGAGTTGGCATCTAACGGTGTTAATGTCTAAATTCAATCAGCCCACAATATTGCGCGGCCTCATCCATTGTCTTCAGTGAGTATCTGTTGCACACTCGATATCCTACTTATTTGCTGTCTGTATCAGGATTTTTGTAGTAAGTGTATGAGAGTGGATTTCTGGAACAGATTTATTATACGAAGAAACTAATAATGAATGATATTAACATTTTACCTTTTAAATAAATTAATGATTGTCTGAACTCAGAAGCCTAATGGATAACAACTCGGCATTTGAAACAAATTCGAACCTCAATGCGAATAACTACATTGAGGTTTAAAAATATTCAATTAATGAGTTTTAAGCTTGAAGAAATTATCCATGCTGAATTTCACTACCAGACACAATCCATCTGTTTTTTATGTAGCAGGGAATTTTTCATATAGGGTTGTATCTAGTAAATTTAATTTGATGATTAAGAAATATTTTTTCTCTGAATTTTATTAAAGTTTACATTTTCTTATCTAATAGGATAGTATGAAATAATAAATAATCCAACCTGTTAACTTTTGATCAATTCTTCTGTATTGATCCAACAAGTATTTTAATTATACAAGTAACATGCCATGCAATTTTTCTTTATAAATACTTTCATCCATTGAAATATGATTTTTATTATTGCATATACCCACTACTACTGCTACTATCACTCTAGCCTGTCCAATCTGAATATCGAAATAAATCCGAACTTACTATTGGTTACGATGTGGATGGTTCAGGTTAGTTAATTTCTCATTTGTATTTGCAGTGAACTACTTCGTTTCCATCATATATACATATAAATTCTAGGATGATTGGACACTAAATAATTATGCACTACACAAATTCAGGGATAACATTACGAAGAAAAAGAAAATATAAGGGGAGTATAATTGAAAAGAACTAGTAAAGAATATTATGTAATGTGTGATACAGTTCTGTTCAATATGCAGTCATGAAGAACTTCTTTCAGATAATAGAGTTCTTCTTGCTTTTACAAAGGGTGTAATATGAAGTTACATCAGAATCACTACTAGATTCTATTCTGACCTATGTTTGACTACACCTCAAATCACCGAGTTGCATCATTTCTAAAACTGCAACCGGGGAAATTCGATGGACCGTTAGATGCCAGTCTTTAATACCTTTCACGCCATGGTACGATGTCATAAACTGACTACATATTTGATCTTTTCATTTACTCGTTGCTTTTCGAAATAATGGGCAACATGGAATCCATTCCGACGTAATTTATAGCTCATGAAAATACCTATGTATTTATCTTTATAATGAATCGTAAGGTGATTTTTTTATCTTTCTCCCTCGTTGCTCACTGACTGAAGATTCGCTCGTGTTTATCCTAGAGACCAATCGTCACAGAACTTCACTGATTACTTTTGTTATAATTCTCCTGTATGACAACCCAGTGATTCCGAATCCTTAGTATCCTCGTAC